TGCGAGGTGATAACGTATGGTTTACAACTATATATATTATATCATATATTGCTTGGTTTAATTTCTTTGTTGTCATGCAGTGCGTAAGCTATTCTGGTACTAATAGTGAAAAATATTGCTGATCGCTCTACCACGATTTGTCCAGATACTGTCCCGGTAAGTTTGAATTTGTCTATATATATATATATATATATATAGACATGCTAGGGGTTTGCTAGCTTGATTTCTCCCGTTTATAGATCTGTTTCAAGTTTATATATTTTCTCCTCTCTTCCTCTCTTTGTTGTTTTTTCTTTTACTTGCATATATTCTCAATTATCGTGTTGGCTTAAAATTTTTATTTCTTTATATTATGAGAATTTCTTAAAAAGTTATTTTCTTATTATTAGATCCTAACCAATGCTAGACATTTAATAGTGGGCCTAAAAAATTTAATTCATTCAGAAACTATTCATTCCACTTGAATTAAAACTCTTAATTTCAGTCTTTACCTTACCACCAACCCAATAAACCCATGATATCTCAACCCGTCCCGTGCCATTCCGCACGAGTTGCACGGATTTTTCACATTTCTCAAATTATTCCTAATGTTAATATCCTACTAATAAATAAACATTACAGAAAAAGAAGTTAACGTACCACCAAGTAGGGTTTTCTTTGGAACTTTGGGTAATCAAAACTTGTGCCTTTCAAAAAAATACTTAATAAAATTTAGAAATTAGTCAAAATATTAAATTCTTTATTATTTTGTTTCCATAACTAAAATTCAATTACTATAATTAGGTGAATACCCTATAATGAATAATTAAATATTAAATTGTATAGTTTTAACTTTATGTTACATAAATAACATATAACATTAAAAATATATACCTTTTTTTATATTTTGGGTTCCTCCGGTTATTCCCAACCCTAGATAAAACTTTCAATCCCCTCCTATTAATTTTTACAATTATCTTTTTTTTTCCCCCTTGTTTCTCACATTTGTTTCCTCATTGCAATCTCACTATTTCGCTTAACACGAGGTTCTATTGTTCTTTTAACTTAAATTATTTTGTAATCTTTTATTTTTTGCTTTTAAAATTGTATATTTTGATTTTGATCGTTTTTATTTATCTTATTTAACTTTGCATTTCAAAAATCAAGAAAAATAATTTATAAATAAATATTATTAACTAGTATTTGGTATTAAGATATTAAAGGCTTTATATATATATATACAACTAGTATTTGGCATTAATATATTAAAGGCTTTATATATATATATATATTTGCCTAAAACCTTAAATTATATTGAACCACCGATATTAATTTTATCATCAGAATTCGCTTTGAACCACCACCCGATATATATGTGTGTGTGTATGAGACATAACATTCTTCAAAGTAACTCTGTTCCTTCCATGGGTATTGTGAACTTCATGGGACCTGACTTACATCTATGTTGTGTTGATACAAGTTCAATTGAGCTGAAGTTGTCATTCTGACAAAAAATTAAGTGCTGATATTAGATTTCATATGTGAATTAGTGGGAATTAATTCGTGTGCAAATGTCGAATCTGGTTTCTTCAATGTGGACTTAGAAGAAAGTGTGGACATATTTAAGCAATGACAAAAAGATATGAAAATATTGTTGCATTGTGACTTTTAATTTCATCTATGATCTGCTTGTATGATGATTCTCTTTGCAAAATGGCTTTTTAATTAATTGGTGCGCATTATGATAATTTTGCTGGCAGATTATGAAGACCTTATTCGAAAGACCGAAATATTTGAGGATGAGTACCAGTTTGGTCGGTTATATGATTCTGTCATGAAATATACCAAGCCACCATGTGGGTCTCTTTTCATGATCTACAAAGAGCTATATATATTTGATCTTTATTTACAAAAAAACTAATACTTTCTATATGGATTCTTCGTTTATGTCATTTATAAGTCAAAAATTGTAAATCATAATTCAGTTTGCTGATTAAATCAAAATCATATGTCCAAGGTTCTGAAAATAATTATAATTTTTTTTTTTTCCCTTTCTTTTTCTTTTTTCTTCCCAAATAGTATTAGGTGATTTTTTTTTCTTTTTTTTTTTTTTTTTGAATAAGTGAATGGAATTACCTCATCCTTATTCCCAAACTACACTGTCGTCGTCCTTATTCGCATATCTTTATTTATGCATTTGGTGAACAAAAGCAACAGTCTTTGCTGCCTTGTGATTTTTATTTGTATTTTATATTATTTTTTGCATTCTTGTTTTTCTTAATCATTATTTGTGGTGCAATAATGATTTACAACTGTGATTTGGTTTGAATGCAGTGGGCAACTAATCTTTCGAAAGATGATCCATCTTGTAGGTACTACAAAGATGATTTGGCCCGATATTCTCCTGGTAACTCACATATATTTCAGTTGTGAGTAATTTTTAATTAATGTATTTTTGTTGTACCATGATATTAAGCTTACTAAGATTTTTTTTTTTTTTTTTGTGCTCTTACATTTTTTTTTTTTCTTTTTTTTTTTTTTTTTTTTTTTTTTTTTTTGTAACTCTACAATATTCATCTTATTTTATTATATCTTAATATTATTTTGCCCTTCTCTCCCTTTTTGCCTTTTCTCTTTTCATTCATAGTGGTCTGTCTTTATGGACTTCTTCATTCTTAAGATTAAGAAAAAAAATAATAATAATAAAAAAAAAAAAATTTAACTGAATAAGCCAGCAATTGTGGAAAGACATAATAACCGTTAAGGGCAAAACTAGATACACTACGTTTAACAAGAGAGGTAATCAGACTATGGGATGTTCTTGGAATTATAACAAAGGTTAGAAGATGTAATCTACTAAAAAAATAAATTATGCATTTTCTTTTCAATATTTGCTTCATCTTCACTTTGCATAAGCTCTTTTTATGAGTTGCTTTCTCATTTGGTATTTTTCTTATAACCTTCTTTGCAGATTGCAAGCCCGTTGACTAAGCTATGCTCTCTACTTTGAAAGGGGTTTTTTTTTTCTTTTTTTAATTCAATGTGAAATTATTAATTTAGATTATTTTTTATGCAGAAGAATTGGGTCTGTTACGATGAATTCCAAAAGCATGGAACCTCTCATTTTCAAAACTTTGGCATATATACGCGTGTAAAATATATTTTAAATTCAGAATATTTTAGATTCTCGTTTGGGAAGAGTGAAAGGCCACCTTACAATGTCTTTTATTTTTTTATTTTTTTATTTTTTATTTTTAAATTTAGAGATCTTAATATTGGCTTCATGTTGTCATGAATACTGGTGCAAGATATGAGTAGCAGTGACTCTGTGTGTGTGTTTTAATGAATAAAGTTTGGTATTTAAGGTTTGTGGAGTGTTACTTTTGTGTTGATCATCTGTCTCGATCTGTGTAGGTTTATGTTTGGACGTTTGGGATTATTTTGTTTGTCTGATTTGTCACTGACTCGAGACTATGGGCAGATTTTTTGTGCAAGGAAGAAAACAAAATTAATTTTCTCCTGTTTTTCTCATGACTCTGTGTGATCTTAAGTACAGGTGAAAATCTATGGGTTTCATGGATTTTTTAGATTTTTTGGGGCATCCCAAATTTTAATAACCTACTAATAAATTAATATTAAAAGAAATCAAATTTTACCAAACTATGTATAAAATAATCTTAGATCAATAATATGATCTCATATGATGAATTCTTGACTAATGATACTATTAATAATTTAATTTTAAATATAAAAGTTATAACTTATTTATATTTTAGATTTTTCGGATTCCTTGGATTACAAAAGCCCTTTGCCCAAATCCCATCCAAAAATAAATTCGAACTCTAAAGTTTAAACCCAGTTTCATCCCACGATCTCAAATACTTTATCCACTTTCGTAAAAATTTCGGGCAGGAATGGGTTGCTCGGGTTAGTCCCACCCAAGTCCCACCCCCAAGCAGAAACCGAGAGAAAATTAATTAAGAATTTTTTAAGAATATGCAAAGAAAATTACAATTAATTAAGATGATTTACGAATATACAAAAGAAACCACACCAAGTGTGCCGATTAGTCCATATTAAAGTAAAAACATGGGTAGGGTTTGAAAGAAAATACAGGATAACTTGTAATTTGAATAAAAATGCGATGTAAAAGGAATGGAAAAACATGATTCTTTTATCCCAGTAGATGAGAAAAAGAATAAGTAGTGAAATTTAATAACCTTCAAAACCAAAATTTCTAAAATGAAAACGTAATGTCTCATCTAAGTCTTCCTTAGTAGCTAAATATGAACCATCTTTGCATAGATTTTTGTTGATCTTATTCAAACTTAATGGTTTCGAACAAATATATATATATATATATATATATATATATATATATATATATATATATATTTGCAGCTATATAAAGGCCCCCTTGAAGTTGGAAACAATTTAATTATTTAAAGAACTAATCATGTAGCAATTCAGCTTGAAGTTCTCATTCGTTTTTCCTTGAGTTGGAAATTAGTTCTTTTATATTGAAAATGCTGACTTTATTTGTTCTTCAATTATTACATTTCCACAATTCCCACTGTGATGAAAATGCAATTTGCAGAAACACCTAAATTTGAATGAAACATATGATTTGCAGGCAATTGCGTATGCAAATACTCGTACTTGCCTCCATGCTAGGGAAAATTGCACAAGAACTCAGTTTGTGATTAAATTAATTTTATTTACAAATCTTCTATGCCTAATCTACTTTTTTCCCGTCACCATTAATTAAATGTTTCTTGAGACAAAGGTTAATTTGTGTACATTTTCATTGCACAAATTTACGTTATGGATGGACAACTTATTGACTAAAATTCCCTACTTCTAATTCTGAATTCGAACGTAGCGAAATTTTAATGGGGTAAGCAATTTTGGTTGCTGGCTCCCAAACTCATTATGATGCTACCATCCAAACTTTCAAAAAAAACATAAAAAATTATGTTGCTCACTCTCAATAAATTTCTATCTTTGAAGAAGACTAAAAATTATAATAATTGAAATGCCTTATTGAAGCTGTCATGTAACATGAATGTCATGTCATTTGGGAAAGTTGAAAATGAAAATGAAAATGCTAATAATAAACTTCCCCGGTGAATAATAAAAAACTAAATCTGAATAGGAGTCTCTTCCTCCATTTTTTAGAAAGCCGACACCAAGTAGTAGAGAGAGACTTCTGTAAACAAAAAAAGTGCTGCATTTGCATCATCTAAACTTCACATCTCTATATGACAACTTCACGCGCCCTTGACACAACTATATTATTCCCTACTCTTGCTAAAAAGAGTGAACAAGTGCACTTAAATTTATTGACTAACCCTCAAACGAGAGGGAAAAGACAATTTGAACTCGTACACGACCAGGAAGATGAAGAACAAGCTGAAGAAGATGGCGACGACAAAGTGTAGTTTGGAAAGCACAGGTCATAGTTCCTCACCATGGCAGTTTAACCCTGACGAAGGCCACGACCATCAATTTCACCTCTCATTATCAGGCATTAACGGCATGGGCAGATATCCTCAAAACTGGACAGGAAACAAAAAGGAAAGTGGAAAGAAAAGATTAAATGTTGTTAGATTATGAATATATTAGCTATTTAGCTGAACCATCAATCGAGTATTAGGAAGCTTACCATATTCCCAAGCGCTCAATGATATCACTGGTGAGGGTTGACCTATAATGGTACTTAAATGCATCTGACGCTGCCTTCCTCAATAAAGCAGACCCAGCAATGCACCCCAACATGGTTGGATTCATACTCAATTTCCCTTCAGCAGCCAAGTTACACTGACGCGCCCAAGACAGGAATACAGCAACACTGAGACCAACAGAAGGGTGTGGTATATTTTTTAATTTTTCTATTATAAAAAATCTGACGAGTTCATTAACTAAAAAGAATTTGACATTTCACACACTGGCTCTAACATTTGTGGCATCGTGATTTTTATTGTTCATCAGACATAACCAAGTTTCGAACTACAGAACCTGTCAGCATACACTGCTTTTATTCTTTCTCTACATGCAGATGCACCTCTCCCCCAACACCCAAAACCAAACCTTTTGAGGAAAAGGAATAAATTCGTGTGGACAACTTAAAAAGCATAACCTCCTATCTTCATGTTTCTAGAGTCCATCGTTACATGAACCAAAAACAAAAAGGCCAAAGAGAAGAGAGCAGATTGAAGAAAAAGGGAGGCATTTAAGTAATATTTGGGAACTCATAGATGACGCTGACAAAAGGAAAAAACTGAACTGACAAAAGGAAAATGTTCCAATGAAACAGAACAGAGGCCATCTACACATGAGATTTCTTTCAACAAAGTTTGTGCCAAAAATAATATAACATAACTTACCTTCCAGAAAGTATATCACCCTGGCCTCCACAGCGTCGAGGAGAACCATAGACGCTCACTGATTTGACTACATAAAGGATGAAAAATTAGATCAAAGCAGTTTAGCTCACTGGCTTGTTTCAAGTGGTTACACATTCAACAGGATAATAGAATATTAAACGGACAAAGGTACTAGAATGACAATGCCAAGAACTTGTTACTGTAAGCACTTTAGACAACCAATTCACAAGGCTGCAAAATTTAGTTAACCAATCCATATACAAATAATGCACCATTCTTTGTTGCTCGAACTATTTCTGAAACCACTATAATGCAAAAGTGCAAATATTCAGTCCATCAAGTATTCATATAATTATTCCTAAGAGGTTTACAAGCATCAATTGACCTGTGGATCCACTTGCCTGAAAGCAGGACTACGCAATCACATCAAACAGTAATCAAGCAATAGACCAACACTTCTCAACCCAAGCTTGTCATGTTTAATCCAACACTTCTTATCATTCATGAGATAAATTCGTAACATAAATTAAATAGTAATCAAGCACAAAAAAGAGGAAAAAGCAAAATCAATTATCAACCTTTTCAAAACCAGAGATTGTTGAACCACAAAAAGGATAATTAACAATTTTTTTTTTTCCCTGAATGATAATTAACAATATGATCAATTACATAAATACCTGTTTCTCCATCACTGATGAGATCAGATTTTCCTTTCCTTAAAATGGTTACCCCACCAATCCTGATCAAGAAGAGATTTAATCCAATGGTAAATATCATTAGAGTACATCAAAACTTGATTATCTCAATTATGGATAACTGTACATTATGATTCAACAATGAATACAAAGCCCTCCAAATAGAATAAAATGGAATCCAGACATTAAAGTGGGCAAGAGGATCATTATATTAGTTGGCCATAAGGAAATAATCACAATTCTAGTAAGATCTCTCACTCACTCATACTGTTTCTAACATAGAGGTGTTAGAAGATGTGCAAGTCCAAACAGTGCTGAACTGCTTTATGCACAGATATTAATGAGGATGTTGCCAGCATACGACAAGAATATTTACTTTCTAGGTTATGTTTTTGCATCATGTAAAATGCAGACTTAAGCAACACATCATCCTTGCAACATAGATGTGCATTCACAAAAAAACGACCCACATGATGCACAGGAAGTGAACAAGATATGAACCATGCTACAAATTGAATGTTCTCAGCGCTCAATATTTCTACAGAGTCGTGCTAAAATTTTTAAAACACATAATGCATGGTGGACATTAGGCAATAGCTTTGCAACAAAAGTAAATGTCTCATCTTTACATTAATTTGATACTCCAGTCTTTCTTAAATACATAGCATCTGCTAATTGATCTGGTCAACTGAACAAGACAATATGGTATGTTAGTAACCGTCTCTCAAATGAGTTGAGAGTTGCAGCTTTCAAGTTGTACTTTAATCAATAACCGTCTCTCAGGGTGGTTATGTTCCTTCCTCCGTGCACATGTATGTCATTTTGTGATGTTCAAGTAGAAATATTTCATAACACCGCTCGTCAGCACAGTAAATAAATCGGTGTGTGTGTGTGTGTGTGTCTGACACTAAGTACAAGTATTGTATGTCGGCACTAATCAGCACAAGCAAAATAACATTCTCTGATGATTCCTCAAGAAAAAGTTTTAATCATTAAATACAGAACAATGAATATGATAGTGGAACTGTTGAACATACAAAGTACATATCGTTCAATAGGAAGCCACAAAGTGATTAGATACAATCTAGATGAATTTAAAAGAGAATTCACCTTTTGGATAGAGATAATAACTGCTCGTGAGCTTCTAGATCGTTTACTTCACAATTTAGCACTTTCTGAACAAGACGCTTATATTCATTGACATTTGGGGTCAGGACAGCTAACTGATAACCACTAACCAGACCAAGAGAGTTTGTAACAAGAAAGAGCCCATCCTGATAAAGGCATAGCCAAACAAGAACATTAAAAAAGTATACAGAATTATGGATTGACGAAAATTACCAAGTGCTAATATTTCAGAATATTACTTTTTTTTTTTTTTTTTTTTTTTTTTTTTTTTTTTTCAGGATTAAAAAAAGGGAGTATATTCTGAAATAGCACTTGATATTTCAGAATATACTTAAGGTACATAGCTGTGATCACATACCCCATCTATGACTATCGGGATGTTTGACTGCCTTGCATGCTTCATGATATCACTCACACAGTCCTGGATGTGCAACCTTTAGAAAACTAGCATTTGACAGGATAAACAGCACAGGCAGCTAGAAAAATACTGATGAACAGAAAGTGAAAATGAGATCATTCTTCTGTAATATGATATCACGTAATCCTTAATTCAAGTCGAAATGACATAATTAGCTCTAGCAATGAAAAGAAACATATAAGGTTTGTTCTTTATTCTGCAGCTAGGACTCATCGACTCCTCAAAGTGTGAGATGCAGACAAGGAACAAGCTTATCACAAATCTGAATAATCTCACCCATAGTTTAACCAACTGTAGTTGCTTAGTGGAGAAAATCATTAGTTACGAGTTACGACCATAAAATTGAGCCGGCAAACCATTTTTTTCTTTTCAGTTCAGACCAGTTGGATCATATGATAATTCATTTCTCATGCACAACTTTATTAGACTCTTACAAGTACCATACATGGCTCGAGTTTACTTTAAGGATTTCCATAGTAGATTCCATGATTGTCTACAATTGAACTCGACTGATAGTTACTCCAGAATTTTTTGCCTCGTGGATTGCTTTTCTAAAAATATGGTTAATCATCTGTGCTTCCACATTCATATATTCAACCATGCGTCCACGGCATAATGGCATGCATGCATGTCTATGTGAAAAAAAAATAAAAAAAAATCAGGAACGAACTCTTTTGAGTTCATATCATCTCACAATTCTTCTTCCCATATAAAAACAGCTAATAGTGTGTAACTTCATTCTTATAGCCATATGTATGCCTTGAGCAAAATTGGAACATACAAAATTGACCTTAAAAGTCGAAAAATACTATGAACTACATAACTTGAGTTACTGTTCGCAAAATAAATATGGTTTTGAAAGACAACAAAAACTAACCAGAAGAAATGGGTCTCTTCCAAGGCCTGGACCAATAACAAGACAATCAAATCTTTCCATCCACTTATCAAAATCAGCAAGAACCCTGGCTGCGATTGATCCTTTGTCCTCATCCCTGAGAGTATGGCAAGCAAAATTAGCACCCTCTGCCACATTTAATTCTAAATTTCAAAGAAAAGAAATTTTAAGTGGATTTTAGTTTTAGAAATTTACCTAACATTGTAAGACTCTTCTAAGACAGGATGCACAATTAACTCGGGACTGTAGCCCTTTATAACTGGAGCTGCATCTTTAGTACAGAAGACATGGGACAAATCTGCACCCTGAGGCGAAAGAAAAGATCATTCATACTGCGGGTGGTAAATACGAGATAACTACAAAGTTCTCATCAAAGAAGTTAAAATAAAACTGAGACTTGACAAATACATAAATATATAAAATCGAAATAAAAGAGAGAGAAAGTTAGAGAACTAACAATTTTTAAAGCTGATATAGCAGAAAAGTATGGAGCACCTGTGTATTCACGACAGCCACCAATAACAGCTATCTTCCCTAATTAACAAATAGCCGAAATAACACATGAATGTGAGGAAACCAGAAGAGCGTTACACGTACCAGGAAGAAAAATGAAACTTTGTCATATAAAGCAAACATAACAGATAGCTAAGATTTACATCAGTACAGAGTGGGTTCATTAGTTATAATCTTATAAATGACTGAAACAGGGAACAAAGGAATGTTGAATTCCATCTGAAAATAGACAACAATGGTTATTTTAGGTACTTTCTTTTTCGTCACGGATCATATACTTGGCTTTTGAAAACACATGCATACTTCTCATAAGAATTGACACTCTTTACGTCAAAAGAAAATTTTCTGGAAAATCTTTTGCAAAATGTGGCTTTGACACATGAAACCTCATGCATGTTGATCCAGACCTTCATGGATCACACTATTCTGCACCTTGAGTCCTAGTGTGCCAAACTTAGAAGAAGAGAATTAATGTGGCTGGTCTTGTACTCTCTCCACGAAATGAATGTCCCTCCTAGATTGGGCTTTGCCCTAATTTTGGTGACCACAAATCCACTCAAACATTAAAATATACACTAATAGTTATTCAGTAGAGGAAAGGCATTGGCAAAACAATAAGGTTGTTCCACTGTGACAGCTTCAAAAACAGAAAACAGCCTCTCCGGATACAGAGACAGGCTGCATATATCAATTCCTCCCGAGACCCTGCAGTGGCGGGAGCCTCGTGCACTAGACTAGCCCTACTAATAGTTATTCAGTATCTTAATTCCAAACCTCTCATCATTATTTACCCTAAGCCATGGTAGTGCCTTTGAAACATTACAGTAGAGAATCTCTAAAATCTCTTCACATGCTCACTTTTCTAAATAGAGTGAAGAAGCTGAGACTCGTGCGAGAATAGGGACCTACACATACATAAAAATCCCAATTTTTCAAAACCGCCATTAATGCTTGAAGATAGTTATCAGTGTGCTTATATAATTAACAAAATGAGAAAGTGGATAGCATAATTGAGAGCTTCACCAGCTTGGCCTTTATGCCTGGTTGGGTCAAGGTTTGGAGTGATTGATCTGAGGATGTTGAGAGCGTCGGCCTCTAGGCTCATAGAATGCATTCTGTTCCGTTGATAATTGTGATTGTTACTGTAACCTCCCAACGACCTTATCAAGAACTGTTGCCTTCTGATAATAGCAGAGTAAGCCAACATTCAATCGCTTGAACTGTCCAACAAATCGAGCCAAAAGTTCATCAAATGCTTAATCACTGAAATTTCAGCCTATACATATATGTATATAAACCCTAGTTGTGACTATATTTCGAAAAATGGCTCTTAATTAAAATTGCAAGTCAAACTGATAGTAAAGAGAGAGAAACATCATCCACATCATACCTTTCGAGGAGAGACGGAAATGGAGTTTGCGAAGTGATTTTGATCGATAATGAGTACGTGTACCGCGACTGTGCGCCGTTTGATGTTGTGACTGAAATTACGTGTATTGTATTGTAATTTACAACAATACCATTTTTTATAGAAATTTTATTTTATAAAAATAAGAATAAATTTGATATTAATAAAATTTCATTAAAAATGTTAGCCATACCTTTTCTTTATTCTCAATTTTTTTTTTTTTTTTTTGAGATAATAAAAGATGTTATTTATGTCTCATTCTATCCCTACGTGTCCTTCCGACATTTCTTATCAAAAATAATTTTTTTTATTTCTTTCCATTACCATTTTTTTCTTTTCATTTCATTCCCATTCTACCAATCAGACATTTCCTACCAAAAATATATATATTTTTCTTTTCCATTACCATTTTTTTCCTTTCATTTCATTCCCATTCTACAAACTGACCCTTAGACTTTGTTTTGATAGACGGGAATAGAAAGGAAAAGAAACTTAAATTGTGAAAGGCCTGAAATATTCATGTTTGATTTTTAACGAGGAGAGAGAAGAAGGTTTGGAAGGAAAAATGATATAGAACACTTTCATCGGAAAAAAACTTTTAACATTTTAACTAAGAAAATTTTAAAAATATTGAATCCCACCATAACATTAAGATATAATAATAAATTAGTTAAAATAATATAATTTTTTATTTCTCTAAACAAGAATGTTATTCTTTCATTTTTTTATTTATTTTAGGATTAATTTTACTAACACCTCTCCTTAAGTTTGGCTAAATATTATCATCTTACAAAAATAATTATCACTCGCATTACAAACATTTAGCCCGTTTTTTACTTACATTCTAAAAGTTACTTTTCAAATATGTTAGATTTTTTTTTGCATATAAAATGACATTATTATCATTTTAATTATCTGCTAACTTTAAAAAATGGTTGAAAGGACTCGAATATCCTTTGAATTTCATATATAAATTTAAAATTATTCTTTATATATATATATATATATATATATATATATATATTTCTCATTATTTACACCAACCAAATTATAATTATAAATTTATAATTATTTTAAAAACCAAATTTATAATTATTTTTAAAAACCAACGAAATTATAATTATAAATTTATAATTATTTTTGAAAATTATTCTTTATATATATATATATATATATATATATACCAAAAAATATATGTATTCGGAGAAAAGATTGATATGAATTGTTTTGGAGGTGAAAGGATAATAAATGAGGGCAATTTAGTTATTTCAGGTTTTAATATGTTTTATTAAAATAAATTTAAAAAATAAAAATAAAATTGTCATTGTGCACTTTTTAAAACAAAAAAAATTAACGAAAAAAGAAACTAAAGTTGAGTTATGATTAATTTCAAAAAAATATTTGAACATAATATTTGACCAAGGTGAGTGAAATTAACCTACTATTTTATAATTTATCCAATTATATATAAATTATTGTCATAGTTTCTTATCTTTTCTTTTCCCTTCCCTCCTACGATCTTTTCTTTTCTTTTCCTTTCCTTTCTTTTTCCTTATATATTTATCCAAACGAAGCTTAAAGTTACAGAGTAGTGAATAGTCTGCAGGACGCCGTTTCTGAGAGCTCTTAGAGGATCTCTGGGAAATCGAGAGAAGAGGAAGAAGAAGAAGACGAAGAAGTAGGGATGAGAGAGAGCGCGAAGAATGCGATGAGGTCTGGGGTTGTGGTGGTCGGAGCTTTAGCTTTCGGATATCTGACCCTACAGATCGGTTTCAAGCCCTTTCTCCAAAAAGCACAGTACTCTGTCGACAAATCTGAGCCGTCTGATGACCACAATCAACACATCCGTGATGCCCAAACTGTCCCCGAAGGCTTCTCTGAAGACGGCTTGTGATCTCTCTCCAAGTAAATACTAGAATCATCCATATATATATATATATATGTATGAACTTGTTTGTTTGTTTACTAATTGCTTTTGAAACCAATGTCAATGGAAACAGATTTCTAAATGGCTAAACACTAACTTTATGACTCCTTCAATTCGATGTGATTCCTTCTTATGTGTTGTATTTTTTAGTGTATTGTGTTACTCTTAAGTTGGAACTGAGCTTCATACTAGACATTTCCGAAGGCATTATCTAAAGAGCAATGTAAGGAATAGCAATAGATTTATTGGCCATGAATGAATGTCTCTGCATTTCGTGATTATATATATATATATATGATATACTGAATGAAGCAATTTTTTTTTTTTTTTTGGTGAAGATATTGATTTTTAGTTCATGGGTAAATGATAGGGGAAAAAGAGATAGTTAGGTAACTTATGGAAGAGTTATGGTGTCTTTTTGGGTAGTTTGACTGTGTTCTGATGTTTGACAAAGTAGAATGACAAAACAGGATTTATGCTCCAAATGCTTGAAAAAAGGCTTTGCTGAGTATTGATTCTTAGTTTATACTTGGGGTTGGTGATGAGTTCAGCACATATAAGATTGATAAAAGGGAATACAGGAGTAACAAAGTGCGGGGAATCCAGTCGAATAGATATTTGGAAAGCTCGTAGGAATGGTTCTGAGTTTTGTTGAGGACACAAAAGTTCAAATGGGAAGGGGTTAGGCTTGTTAGGAAAGGGAAAAGTTCTGACATATATTTGGCATGGAAAGGTACCTCTTATGGTGGATTTTCACATCTTTTGACATTTCAGGAGATGATAGATGTGGGTGATACAAATATGATATGGGTTGGAAAAGAGACGATGGATATTTTGTTTATTAAGAGATTCCATGATTGTGGACTGAAATATGTTATGTTAATCTTAATTTGAGGATCTTCAACTTATAATGGTTCGAAAATCCATTGCATTTTTTATTTTTAATTTTTAATTTTTAATTTTTTTGTCGAATAAGATATGAAGCCTCAATTAGTCATAGGGGGGCTATAGTTCCATTTAGAATGATGTAGAACACTATTGTTCCAAGTATAGTGAAGTTCTTTACAGGGACAATGCCAAGGATTAAGTGTTTGATAGTGGTGTTTTTCTTTCTCTAATGTTTATCAGAAAAGTTCTTATGAACTATATTAAGAAATGAGACTTAATACTTCAGGGATTTATAGAATTTGTTAAGGGTTATTAGTTTTAGGGAATGCCGGCTAATATTGAGTTAAGACATTTTAGGTCACTTTTTGAAAAAGGTTTGGAAAGAAAAATGTTCTTGAAAAGATTTTTTTTACCCCCTAAGGGAAAAGGATAGTTATTTTAAAACTGCTTTAGAAAAAATTATTTTAATTAATGACTCCATTACTAGTCTAAATACTAAGACTGATGTTTTGGAGATTTGATTGTGTATGGGAGAAGTGCGAGGCGCCCATAACATTCATCCAAATGGAAGGAAAGTATGTGAAAGTAAACTGTGTTTTAATCTGTGTTCTTTTGAAGTTCAAGAAAAATGGAAGAAGATATTTGAAAGTAATAAAATTTTAGAATATTAGAAGTTTGATTTTCTGTAATACCCTTAAACAGTACTCCACACACCAATCAACCTACAAGGAATAGAATCGGGTCATGGTAGAATTGAAACTAAAATCAATGAGAGAAAATCAAACATGGAATACTTGGTAGTTGGTAATACTTTTTGTTTAACTTTTATAAAGATAATGGCCTAAATATATTAAATACAACCTCGTCCTTCAGGCAATTGAATGCTTAGAAATGATTTATTTTTGAGAAGACAACCTGTTCTTCGATGTGCCTATTCTGCGAAAAGAAAAGGACTTGGAAAGAGAAAGTATTCCAGAACAGATGAAGTGTTTTTAGTACTAGAAGTTCTTTGGGGGAAAATTTTGTAAGCATATTTAACAAAGTAGTGAAAATTTGTTTTTAGGACTACTTTTGATTTGGATACTTGAATATTTAGATTAAGGCCTTTACTAATTCATCTTCACATAAACTTATTTCAAACAGAACAGAAAATGCTTTGAGAATAACCAGACTTTTCTTTTAGACAAGTAATCAGTCTGTTTGGTTCCATTGTCTAGAGAATATTTTCAATAATTTGTAACTAAGAAAGAGATTTCTGAAATTGGGTCTTCTCCCTTTTTTTTCTTTTTCTTTTTCCAGGAAGCTATCAATTAAATGAATTTTCAAGTAGTTTCATGCTTTTCAATTCTGTAAGAACATTAAAACATTCTCTGAAAATTTAACTTAACAGGCTATTATTTTCATAGACAAACATTACATTGCTATAAAAGTGCTCCAACTGTGCCTCTTTCAGCTGCATTATATGTCTCCCTCTTTAATACGTAGTATTAATATTCCCTGGAAATGAACATATTGAAGTTTTTGAAAGTGACAGTTATCATGAACCTTGAGTTTTAATTAACATAGTGCCTTTTCTTTAAACTTTTTTTTTTACCGGTCTTTGTAAACTCAATAGCTATATTTATGAAATTGAGCATTGTACCATATGCTCATTTCTACTTTAGGAAATACCGGATACCTGCAATATCTGCTTCCAATCACAATGGAGGCTATAACCTGTGCAAGTTATGGTGTCCGTAGTGTCACGCCCCACCGTGGAAGATTATTCCATGCAGTCGTACAACAAGATGATAACATGGATGGTATGCATAGACGGATTCTAGACTTCTATACACGTGGGTTTATTCAGAATTTTTTTAGAGTTGCGTTGAGTTATCTAGACATGTATAGAAGTGTACAAGTAGTCTAAAATTCTCCAAAATAAGCATTGTAGAGACAAATATTTGAAGCTTTCTAGAACCCGAACAGATCTTAGCCATTTTTTATAAGCACTTGGCTTATATATAGGGGAGGGAGCTCATTTGCTACTCACCAAACAATCAAGTTGTAAGTATTATCCAAATGCAATATAAGTCTGCTACCTTCACCCCACATTACTCATTGAGTTAGCCATTTTTTATAAGCACTTGGCTTATATATAGGGGAGGGAGCTCATTTGCTACTCACCAAACAATCAAGTTGTAAGTATTATCCAAATGCAATATAAGTCCGCTACCTTCACCCCACATTACTCATTGAGTTGATGGGTTTAATGAATATTTTACTGCATCATAATATGTAATTTTCTTCTAAGAATAAGTTTTGTAATAAAGTTCTTGTTATCAGGTGGTGTCATTTCATGATTAGGTTATGCTAAACCAGTGTGAATTAACTTCAATTGTGTAATTATAATTAAAACTGAGGTAGTTTCAGTTTTTTAGTTGTAATTAAAAGTGGGATAATTTCAATTTTTTAATTATTGTTTTAATTGTAATTAAAAGTAGGATGGATTAGAACATTCCAAATGAGTGATTGTTATTTTTGGACCAAAACATTGTTCTGCTAGATATAGATTTAACTATTAATAAATATGGAGATTATATTTGTAGTGTTGTCTTGTTACTCCGCTCCAAACATTTCAAGAGAGTTCAAAAGCATCCATGACCCTCAAGTGGAAACAGATTACAAATTGTTTTGGGTCAGATTCGGGTCAGAACATGACTCAATTCAAAATCAAAATTCAGGCTACAATGTCACAATAAGAAAATATTCAGCTGCGATAAACAGTTAAAAATCTGAACTTCATAATATGATACTTCAAACTGAAGTTAATTATCCAAGAAGGAATTGTTTGAACTTTTTTAAAGGTTTATTAGTATTGTCATATAGTTCTAACATGAATTTATTTTGTTAGTATCAATTTTTAATTGACAATGACTAAACAATCTTCTTATTTTAGACCTCAAGTAATTGGAGTTGAAGAAGTCTCACCCTCCTAGCTGACAAGTAAGAAGTGCTGTCGACCGTCGAAAATTTCCACAAGATAGTCATCAAGTCTCTCTCGATTACCAATCTCTTCTTGTCCACTGAGGTCGACCATGGACTTCGTCAAAAGCATCAAGTATATGTCTTGGTCGTGGTGATATTCCAACTAATGATCATTCAATTGAGCTAATAGTGATAAAAATGCTATCTACGTCACTCCACTTGGCATGTGTATTATTATTTTTTCATATTCTGGTCATTTTGTGGTATATTTTTTTAGCTGCAATAGTGATTTCCTTATAAAAACCCGTCTCCAAAACAATTTAAAAAAAAAAAACTCTTATAAGAAAAAATGAGTTGTGACCAATATACATATAAAATAAAGTAATACTATAAAGCAAAAAGGTAAAAGAATTTTGACAAAAAAGGAAAAATTAGTTGTGTCTTGCATTGCAAGTGAAAATGGTAAATTTGTGAGTTGGTAGTTGATTTTTGAACTTCGCTTGACATGGTTCTATCAAAAAAAAAAAAAAAGTTTTGGATTGGTTCAAAAGAAGTTAAAGCAAGTTGCCTAATACGCTATTTTCAGTTACCAGCTTTGAGTTTGCTCCCATCTAATGTCTAGCACTAGCAGATATGCTGCAATGTCCCCGTCCCCAAACCACTCCTCAAATGTATGAAAGGAAACCCATCGAGGGTGGTTTTAAATTTCACAATCTGAGTACAATTTGAGTATACCAATACGTACACCCTAGTCGGCAGAACGTGTAACTTTCCAAATGAATATATTCGTATTCGAGTACCCCCTCTTCTAATTTGCAAAGAAAAAAAAAAAAAATCTTCAACTAAAATATTTCATCCATGGTCATAAAAGGCACAGCTCACTTGTCTTTGTTTGTTGGAGAGGCATTAATTTAAACAAGGCACGTCAAAGGCACACTAGAGTACCCAAAGGGAAGGCAGCCTGTTCTGGGACGGCATTGGAGGGTCCATCAATACCAATAATATCTTAAGCCAACCAAGGTCTATGCACCTTGGCCAATGCGAAAAATAATAATAATGACGAATAATAAAATACACACACACATAGATATATATATATAGAGAGAGAGAGAGAGAGAGAGTGAGAGAGGGCTTTGATGACCCCTCATTCCATCCCAAGACAAATGGCACGTGATTGAACTCATCCTAAATTTGCATCGGATCCTTTACTAAGAGATTCTTGCTACATAACACCATTAGGTGGTGGACTTAATTTTATTAATTTTATGCCTACTTTAAATGGATTTTATTGGTTTGATATTGTTGGATCCAACTCCTGCTTCTCTTGAGCCACATCTTAAAAAACAAAAGCTTTAAAACGCTTTTGACAAAGTTTTGAATAACTCAAGTACCCCGTATAATCAAATAAAAATCATTGAAATGAAATAGATTACACGCATTTAGCTTGAGGATATATAAAATAAGTACTTTAATATATATACATGAGTTATAATCTCTAAAGTAATTATTAAGGTGTGTGGTATTTTCTTCCTAATTATTTAAATTTTTTCAAAAATGAGTTATGGTATGAATAGTTGTACTCACGTTTTCAAGAATTGATATTGTGCCCTTAGACACTTATATAATTACATGCACTTAACATTTTTCTTTTAAGTATATAAGCGAGTATAGAAAGAAAAAAAATTAACAATAATAATTTATAAGTAATTAAGAGTCCCATTCAGGTGATTATAAAATTGAATGAATATAAAAAGGGCAAGATCTCATCAGAGAGGAGGTGGAACTGTTTTTCCATCTTTGTTTCGATAAATTTTGTTTTGTTTTCTTAAATGGAAGTTAATAATCAAATGGTACTTTACAAAAATGAAATTAATTAAAGCGTCCACTTGTTTCCAAGTGAAAATCATGCTCAGAAACCGCGCGTACTAAACACGAATTAATCCAAGTGAAAATATTCCACCACGTAAGTGGTGATTAAAAGTGAGGTTAAATTAAGTTTAATCCGTTACCACACCGTCTTTTGTTGCGCGATTCCCATTTGGCCACGGGGCCCACGACCAGTCAACTTAACCACGATTTCTAGAGCGAGAATGAGTCGTTTTCTCTCTCTAGAAAAACTTTTGTACACACCCCCTACGGTTACTCCCTGATAATCACCCATTCCCCGTTTTCCAGATTCGATTTTGAAATTGAATGCGTGAGTAACCTATGCCCTCCCCACAAATACAGTTCATCTTTCCACTCGCCAACCAACTCCCTCTCTCTCACACATTTTCACACACAAAAAAAACATAGCAAAGTGCATAGTTTTTCTCATGAATGCTACTTTACTTTCTTGACACACATCTCTTTCTATGTCCTTTCGAACTCTCAAAATATAAACGTTACTCATTCATCAAGTAAAGAAGCCACAAAAACCATGATTCGAACAGAAATCGCCATGAATGTTATATTGCTTCCACACTAAAATATCTCTATATTAAGTTCCCTCTTCTTTCCTTCTTTGCTTCTCTCTCAAACCTACCCAAATAACCCAATTGATACTTAGTACAAATGTCTAAGAACCCATCTCAACAGGACTTAGAAACAGTGCCTTCGATGGATGTTTTCAAAAAATTCAAGCGCTTGAGACTCTTTGAGCCTTCTGTGGGCATTTTTGGCTTCTTCTTTGTCACAGTGTGTGTTATTTGCTGTTTCTTTTACTTGGATTACAAAGCTGTTGCTAAAGGTTTTCGATTTTCGACACAAACCCAGAGGTTTTTGTGGTTGAAATTTGATGGGTCCGATGAGGATCGAAGAGTAGTGGAGTATTTGAGTGAAAAGGGTGATGTGTGTGATGTGTTTAGAGGTGATTGGGTGTGGGATGAGACCTATCCTCTGTATCAGTCCAGAGATTGCAGGTTTATGGATGATGGGTTTCGGTGTTCTGAGAATGGGCGGCCTGATTTGTTCTACACCAGATGGCGTTGGCAGCCCAAAGATTGCAACTTGCCCAGGTTACTCATAATCTTCACTTTCCTCTTTTGATTTTGTTGGAAATTGTGTTTGGTTGCTGGGAAGATTGTTGGGACTGGAAAAAGAAAACTCTTTTCAACCATTAAGACGTATAAAACCCAAAAAGAGTATGTGTATCTAGCATTCAATCAAGTAATCTGATACATTACTTGATTTGCTTGTGTTGAATGTTTGAAAAGACAAGATATTGCAAAACATGATAAAGGTAGCATTTTATTTTCCTTTATTTTTATCTGATTTTTCATTAACTCAGCGGTTTGATTTTTGTATTTGGGATTATTTTCTGATTTGAATTTTTTTGATTGGCTATGGATTATATCTATATCCTACTTTTTCGGTTATTTATTTTTTATTTTTGGGTACGTCTAGTTTAATTTCTCTATTAGTGATAATAGTACAATTGAAAATTTGAAAATACTACGTTTACCAATAATAATAATAACAAAATACACAAATTAAGTAAATGACCGACCACTTCTTTGTAGCTTCTCACCAGAATCTCAAGTCATCTCTGCCGCTAAATATTCTTTTTCAAGGGCATTTCTTGCAATAGGTAACAAATAGTTGAAGCAATGGTGTCCTTTTCAAGTATATGATTATTGAATTTTGTCTTTCTTTTCTGACTATGTCCGTTTTCTTCTAATTGTTTGTTTCCTTATTTCTTCTGGGGCTGGAAAGCATCATGTATCAATTAGCTTCACCCGTGAACTATTGGATAATGATATAGAGATTTCTTTTCTGGGATATTACTCCATCTTTCTGTGCCACATCTTTCTGTTGTCCTTTTTTTGCTGTACTTCTTATCTATATACTTTGGGGGCTTCTTCTTATTATTTGGTTAACTTTTTTTTATTGTTGATAATTTGTTTTCTCCATATAATATTATATTATTCCCTGAGTTAACTTGTCATAGTTTTAGATAGCTTTGGTCCCAAACTATCTTCTAAATTTCATTTCCATTGGATAAAAGAAAAAATGGAATTAAATGAAAAGAATTGCATGAATATTGAAACAAATCTGATTTCATTTCCGTCAGTGTTCATTTTTCATTCATATATATATATATCATTTGGGATTGTAATCGAATTGGGGTAGGATTTCAGGGAGATAAAGGCTACTATATTCATTTGCATCGAATCTTCTTATATTTGATCGTATAGTACATCATTTTTAATGGGAGAAAAGGAAGAAAAAACTAATTTGGGTATTGTCAATCGCTCGTAAAAAACAGATTTGATGCAAAAATGATGTTGGAGAAACTGCGGGACAAACGACTAGTGTTTGTTGGAGACTCAATTGGAAGAAATCAGTGGGAGTCCCTCCTCTGCATGCTCTCTTCTGCTGTTCCCGATAAGAATTCAATCTATGAAGTGAATGGCAGCCCAATCACAAAGCATAAAGGGTTCTTGGTGTTCAAGTTTAAGAATTATAACTGCACAGTGGAGTACTACAGGGCACCATTTCTTGTACTTCAGAGTCGACCTCCTGCTGGTTCCCCACATAAGATAAGAACAACTCTGAAATTAGATGAAATGGATTGGAGCTCTTTGAAATGGAGAGATGCCGATGTTCTGGTCTTCAACACAGGGCATTGGTGGAACTATGAGAAGACCATAAGAGGGTAATTTGATATTCTAGAATTAATCTCATGATCTCATACTTTGTTATTTGCTTATACTTTTCCAATATGAACTTCTGCCTGGGCTTGTTTCAGATGTTATAGGAATTTTATGAATCATGTTTTGGAATGGGAAGTAAGCAATGTTTTTTACTTGGAATGTAAAACTTCATCATCCCAGCCTTATTCAAGGTGTTATTGGTATACGAAATATGGACATAATGTCTTTATTACAACAAAATAATACTTTTGTATCTCAAAGTCTTGCCTAAATTATAGGGCATAACACAATGGGGCCTTGGGAGGGGAAGAGTGCAGGCAGTGACGGAGCCAAGATTTCAAGTGAGGTGGGCACACTACCAAAAAAAAAAAATAATAATACGGAGTACATACATATATATATATATAATAACAATAAAATTTAAAAAGACAAAGAAGAAGAAAATTATTAAAATATAAAAGGAAAATAAAAATGAAAAAACTTTAATAGGAAATAGTTAAAAAGTTTGAATTGAGGAAGAAAAATTTGACTTTTTCTATTAAGGAAATTTAAGGAATGTGAAGGGTAAAAGAGAAAATAAAGAAAAAATAAGAATATAATTTTAGGAATTACAAATTTGAGGGGGGGCACTATATAAATTTTGTCATATATATGGAAATTTTTTTAAAAACTTCCACATATATTATAGGTTGCTGGCCAATTCGCGGGGGCGGGGGGGGGGGGGGGGGGGGGGGGTGCACATGCCCCCCCTAGGCCTTCATTGGCTCCGTCCCTGAGTGCAGGCATGCCTTATCTTTGACATTATTTTGCGCATAGTGACTCAACTCTGGCACTTGTTAGTTTGAGTTTTTACCATTTCACTAAGCAATAAGTAGTGCCTAAAGGCATGACTAATTGAAGTGATGCCACCAAATAGGTATTTCATAGATTATAATGATTTTTTGGTAGTTGTGAAAACATATGACGGCTTTTATTTTCTTTGAAGATTTGGTAGTTGTGGGATGTGGTTATCTTTAGATAAGGGAAATTCGGGCTGTTGAATGAAGTTAGAGATTGAGCCATTAACTACCTTACTTTTGAGGACCTTGTTGTCTCATCTTCACGGCAGTTGCCTGTGTATTTTAATCATTTTGTTTCACATTGTCATAGTAGTTATTATTTGGTCAAAAGTTATCTCTCAAGTCTGTTATTCTCTCCATGCGAGAAAGAACTAAGATACCTATGGTTTTTGTGATTGATATCTGTTTCATAAGTGTATCCCACAATCACTTGGACTGTAATTGAACGTTGTTGTTATCCTAAACTTGCTGGTGATGGCTTCTTTGGGGGGGGGTGCACATGCCCCCCCTAGGCCTTCATTGGCTCCGTCCCTGAGTGCAGGCATGCCTTATCTTTGACATTATTTTGCGCATAGTGACTCAACTCTGGCACTTGTTAGTTTGAGTTTTTACCATTTCACTAAGCAATAAGTAGTGCCTAAAGGCATGACTAATTGAAGTGATGCCACCAAATAGGTATTTCATAGATTATAATGATTTTTTGGTAGTTGTGAAAACATATGACGGCTTTTATTTTCTTTGAAGATTTGGTAGTTGTGGGATGTGGTTATCTTTAGATAAGGGAAATTCGGGCTGTTGAATGAAGTTAGAGATTGAGCCATTAACTACCTTACTTTTGAGGACCTTGTTGTCTCATCTTCACGGCAGTTGCCTGTGTATTTTAATCATTTTGTTTCACATTGTCATAGTAGTTATTATTTGGTCAAAAGTTATCTCTCAAGTCTGTTATTCTCTCCATGCGAGAAAGAACTAAGATACCTATGGTTTTTGTGATTGATATCTGTTTCATAAGTGTATCCCACAATCACTTGGACTGTAATTGAACGTTGTTGTTATCCTAAACTTGCTGGTGATGGCTTCTTTGGGTTTTCATTGAATATGATTTAATAATGATTATTTCTGTATACCATCATCTGTAAACCAAATTCTGACAGAACACACAAAAATATGCAATTTATCTTATCTGGTACTTTTTGGCATTTCTGTTTTGTTGGTCTAAATGGTATTTGTCAGGAATATGTTACTGAGTCATTTTGTCATAAGTATGCAATTCTTGCCTCTATCTCTAATCTTATATTAGTTTTGAATATCATTAAAACTCACTTCTAAAGATTCAACACAATAATCAGGGGTTGTTACTTCCAAGAAGGGGCAGAGGTGAAGATGGAGATGGAAGTTGATAGTGCATACCGCAAGTCCCTAGAGACTGTGGTGGACTGGATAAACCGGGAACTGAATACTAGCAAGACCCAAGTCTTTTTTCGAACATACGCCCCTGTACATTTCAGGTTTGTTTTATTAGTTAGTAAATCTCTTCATCAGATTTCCTTTGTCTGTAATATATATTCACATTCCTCAGATATACAAAAGTTTCTTTATTAATATTGGGTTCTTGACTTTTAGTCATACAAGAAATGGTGGTAAATCAGTTTTAGCTTTTGGTGTACTCTTAACTCAAATATGTGGTCTATTGCATTTCATAAACTTGGAGCTCAATTGAGGATTCTGAAAGACTTGATCATGAATCAAACCAATTCATCCAAGCACCACACTTTCAATACTTATGATCTGTATGCATATGATTGCTTGGTTACTGCTTTTAGCCTTGTGTCGACCTTTGGCTTTCCATTGTTTGTTCCAGCACTAAATTGTTTCTTCAAACAAGTTTTTATGAAATTGTTACTCTCAATATAATGAGTGTAGTATTTAAAGTTGCTATTTTTCCACCTTGGTGGGCCCTTATAACCTAGCAGGTGTATGTCTAGTTGGACCTCCTTGAATCCCAAATCTTAGGATGCGAGGAAGTGTGTCAAAAAGTTAGACATGGGTACGTTGGCGAGTACTGGACATTTAAGTACATTATATATTGTGTTATATAAGTAGTGTGACATCTGATGCTGTTGTTTTGTAAGAATATATTTAGTCATGATTAAATTTTATGTCATGTACTTAAAAACAAAAAAGAGTTAGCATCTACCTCATAGACAGGAACCTATTATTTGCTGTCAAATTTGACCTTTTACTTTTTCAATCATAACATGTGAAGGATTAGGGTTTCTAATTTAAGCTCATTTGTCAGACACATATCCCATTCTCATAACCATGTCGTGTCATGTCGACATGGGTACATAAAGGGAGATAGGAGAGTTCATGTAAAACTGCTTATGACAATGATATTCTTTTAGCTTTTTTGTCGTGTGAATATGCAGTCATGTGTATCCGCAGAGTTTAATAGCATCTTTATTTTCTTCAAAGAGCATAGTTATGTATGCACTAGCATTTTATTTTAGAAATCTGCTTAGTTTTATCACTCTTTCTTCCTGAAATAGATTTTTATATATGATCTTGTCTCAATTATAAGGATGACATGGTATTTACAGAGGTGGGGATTGGAGAACTGGGGGAAGCTGTCACTTGGAGACACTACCTGAGCTAGGCTCCTCGCTTGTGCCATTCCACACTTGGGCCCGATACAATGTATTCATTGATGTACTATCAACCCGCTTAAACACATCACAGCCGATGGCATTAGATTTGTTAAATGTAACCAACATGACATCACGAAGGAAAGATGGGCATTCATCTCTATACTATCAAGGTCCCAACTCGACCCCTGCGCCACTTCATAGGCAAGACTGCAGCCACTGGTGTCTGCCTGGGGTCCCTGATGCATGGAATGAGCTACTCTATGCTCTCTTTTTAAAGCGTGAGGCCACTCGCACTGGGAATTCATCTACATATCGAGCACAAGTATGAGTGGTGAAGAGACTATCCTATTTATTTGCTGGAGAGTACCTAAAAACATTGGAAGGAGTTGATTTCTTGAGAAGGAAAAGGAAAAGGAAAAGAACAGGAGAATGGTTTGCCAGAGATATGCAGCAAGGGCTGGCGCAAACTTTTGATTAATTAGCATCTAGAAAGAGGTAGATCATGGGAAAAGCTGGCTCTTTTAGATTTTAGGTGTCGAGAACTTGACATAGAAGGAAGTGTCGTCTTAGGGAGAGATGGACCAACAAGGGTTCATCGAAGAAGATATAGAGAATCGAAGATCATATATATACATGGATATTCTTGCTGCCTTTGTTTCAGGTGGTACAATTCTTTGGAATAAGTATCTAATTACCATCAAATTTTGTCCATATGTTGTATCTTTTTCTTTATCTCTCTCTATATATATAGTGAGTTGTGACTTGAATCAAGGACTGGAGCTTCTTGTGCATTTTGTTGTAGTTTCCTTAGAGTAACTTCGAAGTGTAAGCATTGAATTTTCAGTTGATTCTGTATCAAGATTGTGGAATACATGCAAATATGCAATTCATGTTGTGGCCCAAGAAAATTGGCAAGGGCTTGCTCTGTTACCTGAGTGCACAGTTGACACTGTTGCATCGCAAGCGTTTGAATGGACATTTAGATGCGCGGCAATGGGCAGGATATGCGCAAAGCTGTGTCTTTGCGTGGCCATGGGACTCTGGACATCCCCTGGAGAAAAAATGTAGTTCCATTGTAGATATTTAAATTTCATGTGTGTTTTTTTCCTTTACCAATAAGACTGCGAGGGGTAAAACAAGGAAAATAAAATTTTTAGGTTTGATGTAAATGTATAAATGGTACCTGAGGGATAATTAGAAAACATACTACATAGATTTACTGGGGAAATAAATATGTTAAGACATTGCTTGGTGATGGTAGTAGTTTGGGTTGCTCTAAAATATAGATTCTACCATTGAATCCTCACTAATTGCTGCAAAAATATTTCATTTTGGTTCTACCTTGCATTTCTGAGGTGCTTTCAATTCAATCAATTTTTCTTTAATCAAGTGTTATAGAGGAGTACGGTTGTAATCACTCTACATGTGTGAATTGTCACAATCGTTCCATGTTATACAACATTGTATTATTACGGTAGAAATTTACTTCTTACTTCTTTCTACCCACATAATTTCTCATGTTAATCAAACCCCTAATAAATGAACAAAACATTCCTTGGAGTTGGTGGATAAAAAATTAATCTTGGTCTTCCTCCCCTTTTCGAAAACTTTTGTAGGATATCAAATGAATTGTATGATCAAAATAAGTTTATTTATTTATTGAAAATACCATTTTTTAGAAAGATCTTTGCTATGAATTTTTACTTAAATCTGGAGACTGTTATCTTGTTGGGTATTTTTAATTAAAGGAGATGATAAATAAACTCCATTTTTATAAATGCACTTCACTATTTTAGCTATTCTTAAATTAAATAACATAAATGATCCTTATACTTGATTATTCTAAATTGAACTAAGAATAATTATGTCATTTCACATAAAAATAGAGTGCATTTATAAAAAGTGGAGTTCATTTTTCATTTATTATTTTTAAAAGTTTAAACCTTAGAAAAATTAAATTTTAACTATTTTTAGAAAATAACCACTCACTCAATTTCGGATCTGGATTGTGTAGATTAACTATTCACCATCACACTTGTCCCCCACCAAAACACACAAGAAAAAGAAAAAGAAAAAGAAAAGGAAAAAAAGAAAAACACTGTTAATTAAATAAGAAAATTATTAATAATTAATTTCAATTGCATTAGAAAAAGAAGAAGAAAATCCAAAAACTTTGCAAAAGAGGGGAGTAGTGCGCAGGTTGCAACATCAACACCCCCAGCGTAAAAGCCAAGCTATTAGTTCCCCCCTTCCACAGTTTATGTGAACACAAGACCTTTGTGTTAGTGTTTGTGTTGAGAGAAATATAGCAAAAGAGCGAGCGAGTTTGCAATGGCAGACTCCATGGCGCAACTTAGCAGATCGAGAGACCTGGACAAGCTCCTCTTGAGGCCTGGCCATCTCGTCGGCCCTACCTTCGAACCAGGTCCTGATGTAAGCCCCCCTCTCCTCTCTCTCTCTAAAAACCCTATCTCTCTTCAGATTTTTCACAAACGCTTGTTACGCATTCGCTTATTCGTGTCGGTTTCATTGTAGTTTCGTTTGTGTATTGTGGTGTTTTGTAGTTGAGAGACGACCTTCAACAATATGCGAGAGTGCTGGTGGTTGGTGCTGGTGGATTGGGCTGTGAACTGCTCAAGGACTTAGCTCTATCGGGTTTTCGAAACCTCGAAGTCATAGATATGGATCGAATCGAGGTTTCTAACCTCAATCGCCAATTTCTCTTCAGGTCATTCTTTTCCCACCTTAATATTCCCATTTATATATGTGTGTGTTTGTGCGCACGTGTAGGCACATATATGCATTATCTTATGATCAGTTGCGTGGGGATTACATGTGTTACTGGTTGATAATTATATAGAAATGTTTGCCAATTCGGGACTCTCAGGGATGTGAATTGGTGGTGTATACGGGTGAAACTTGGATTGGGTTGAAGACTGACGATACCTGATATTGAGGGTGGGACATTCTTCATTGAATCAACTTCAGGTGCTTAACTAAGCTTGACCCACGGGATAATTTCTTAACCTTCGATCTATACTGATCATTCGGTATAACCCGAGGTGCTTAACCTAAGTGTATATAGTTACATAAGAGGATCCAAATATTATATTATATTTTTGCTATAGGCCAATAGTTATAAGCTGTCTGTGAGCTACTACAACTAAAATTTAGAAACTAAAGGGGAGGTTGAGAGTTCGAGTCTGGGGAGGGGGGCAATGTCTTGGGAATTTAGAAACTAAAGGGGAGGTTGAGAGTTCGAGCCCGGGGAGGGGGCAATGTCATGGGGGGCGGAGGCAATGTCATGCACGTTTGCATCAACATTCGGAAAAGAAAATAAAAAACAAACAAACTCATGGTAGACGACGAGGATGCATTATTGTGCAAAATAACTGAAATCCATATCTCAAGAGTGGTGTTTTCGCGGGAACATTATTAACATCAAAGCTTCTAGTAAGAAATTTTTTTTTAATAGAATTTTTGTCTCAGGGGAACACTATTAACAACATACTTTTCTATATAATTGTAAGCAATCTTGTTTTCTCTAACTTCAGTGCTTTAGATTTGATGGCTCTCTAATCTCTATTTTGGGTTAAAATTTATGTTACCACTGTTTTAAGTTTAATTTATACTATTATTATTAGAAAGTGTTCCTTAATAATGGTATTAAATTATTAATATCATAGGCTTGAAGATGTTGGAAAGCCAAAGGCTGAGGTGGCAGCAAAACGTGTCATGGAAAGAGTTAGTGGTGTGAATATTGTGCCACATTTTTGTCGGATTGAAGACAAAGAACTTGAATTTTACAATGATTTCAATATTATTGTCCTTGGGCTTGATTCCATTGAGGCTCGAAGCTACATAAATGCCGTCGCTTGTGGTTTTCTAGGTATGTATTTTCTAATTATATTCTGGTTATAAAAAAAAGTGGCATGTTATAATATCCAACAGATTGTTCCCTTATGTTATTTCTCATTTCCTCATGGGTCTTCAGTCATTTTGATGTGAAATATCTACTTTTGCTTCAGTGTTGCACATGTTGATTAAACCCTTTTATATTATACCGATTTGCCTCTATTGTTGACAAAGTACTTCAATGTTTGGCTTTCTTTTTTATAAAAAGATTTTAAAACATGCATTATCAATTGGTAAAATGGAGGCGGAGTCCGTCCTTATGGGAATGATTATGAACTCTCAGTCTCACCCATCCAAGATTCCATACCCTTTATGATGGAGAAAGTATTTAAAGGAAACATATATGCAGTTTGTGTAATAAAAGATTAACCCAAAGCTTTGGGAGAAGACTTATGTCTGGTTGGTTTCATTAGAATATGATTCTGATGACAAGCCACGAGAAGAAACAATCAAACCTATGGTAGATGGTGGAACTGAAGGTTTCAAGGGTCACGCTAGGATTATTGTGCCAGGTGTCACACCATGCTTTGAGTGTACCATTTGGCTTTTCCCCCCTCAAGTGAAGTTTCCTTTATGTACTCTTGCTGAGACCCCTAGAACTGCTGCTCATTGTATTGAATATGCCCACTTAATCAAATGGGATGAGGTACCCTCTCTCTCTTTCTCTCTCTGATTGGTGCTTTTAGTGCTTTTGAACTAATTGCTCTATCATCAGATAATGCATTTCAATTGCAGGTTCATAGCGGACAAACTTTTGATCCTGATAACCCTGAACATATGCAGTGGGTCTATCAAGAGGTCAACAGTTGCTGTTGCTTGGTTTTTTTTTTTTTTTTTTTTCTTTTTCCTTTTTTCTTCTCTTTCAATTTTTTTTTCCCTTTCACTAATCCCACCCATATCCATAGGCTGTCAAGAGAGCAGAGCTTTTTGGCATTCCAGGAGTTACATATTCTCTAACTCAGGTAAACATATTATCTGGTATCTTCGGTTCTTTGGCATTTCAGGAGCTTTTTGGATTTACCACTTGGTCATGGTGCAGTAGGTCTGGGTCCTTAGTTTTGACTGGAGTGCAAGACAACAAATAATAAAAGAAATGATAGCTTTACCTAAAGTATTTTTATTCTTGTTTTTTTGTATCAGCGTGGTGCCTAACACTTTATACTTATTTGTCAAACCTTAAGTATAATCCATTTTGGCGGGTAACATCTTATACTACTTGCATGAATTTCTTCAGCTTATTTTATCGTGACAATCTATTGGCATTGCAATGCCAGTTCAACTGTGAAACTCGATTATGGCACAATATTTTCAATTGAAGAATGTTGTTTATTCTAATCATTTGAGATTCTAAGTGTTGGATATATAAATGTTTGAATGGCTTCAACTTTGATCTTTTAACTTCCTCGCTATGTCACGCTTATTGATAACACAGGAAGATATCTGCTTTTTTTGTTTACAGGGTGTGGTGAAAAATATCATACCTGCTATAGCTTCCACCAATGCAATAATATCAGCTGCATGCGCACTTGAAACATTGAAAATTGCGACTGGATGCAGCAAAACATTATCCAACTATTTAACGTGAGCCCTGCTTCTTCTGTATTTACACAATTTTTAACTCATCTATATCTTGTTTCTGATGTAGTGATTATTTCATATTTTCTGGAAGAAAATGATGTGTTGATGATTTTCGTGGTTTCATCCCTAACTTCCTAATAAGATGAGTAATTGAATGGTTTCTAGTATGCCTCATTGTAAATTTGTTGGGAATTTCATCTTTTTCATCTCCATCTACTCGATGAATTACTATACTTGTCTAAGTGAATTTCAATATCACACATTCGTTGCTAAAATATCTTTTTTCTCTTTTTGTTTCTGTTGGTGATATTTTGACTTCTCCACTGTTTCAAAATGCCAGATCTTTTTCTTAGTTCTCTTTCATTTTTATTTTCTTTTGGTGGTTGGTCTGGGATAATATCAATGGATCTGAATTGCACGATGACATCTGTAACAAGGGTCATTTGTCCCACATCGGAATCGGATGGGAAAGTGATTGGGTATAAATGGTTGGGTATGCAGCATTACCTAATAGTTCGAGTTTTTGGGTAAATGGGCAAGCGCCCACCCGTTACAGTTGGTATCAGAGCCAGACCCAGTCCTTGATCAGGTGTCACGCCAAGCGCCCGGCCCGGAAGGCGTTCGGGCTAGCATCCCGGGTAGGCAGGGTGGCCCGAACCGCAACGAGGGTGTTGTGAGTTTGGGTGGGGGAGAATGTAACAAGGGTCATTTGTCCCACATCGGAATTGGATGGGAAAGTGATTGGGTATAAATGGGTGGGTATGCAGCATTACCTAATAGTTCGAGCTTTTGGGTAAATGGGCAAGCGCCCATCCGTTACAACATCTGTCTTACATTTTTAGTGTTCATCTTAAATTTTATGTTCCCTTCATTTAATATTTAATTACATTTTCATGAGATGACTCTACTCTTTTATGCAATGCTGAGCTAAAGACCTTTAAAATATTCTTAAATGCATTAATTGAACATCGAGAAAGTTTAAATAAGATTAAACCATGAAAGTCAAATTGGAATAGCAATATCTCATTAACATTTTGTCCCTCTTGCTCCTACAGAAATTTTTATAATAGAAGAATTTTCGAATGCTTCTTAGGTAAAAACTTGTCACTCTTAAGTCTGTGTTTCATTCTACTTGAGCCTTTAAACATGGATTTCACAATAAAAAATTGAAGATTGCCAGAGGCTCAGAGCTACTGATGCCTTCTTAGATCTTTGAATAGAAACATAATTAATGCTGCTTTTGGTATTTATATGTTGAATAGTGATGTTTGTATTTTTTTATAAATTTATGTCATGAATTATTTTCATAGGATGTGCTAACCTTAACTTGTTATAGGTATAATGGTGTTGAAGGTCTGCACACTAAAGTGACGGAATTTCTGAAGGACAAAGACTGTCTCGTTTGCGGTCCTGGCATTCTTATTGAGCTAGACACTTCAGTTACTTTACAAAAGGTTTTCTTACTCCTTTATAACCCTTGGTATTTATTTTATAAATGCAATGTTCCTCTTTTTTATTTATTTGTCTTGATTATTTCTGTTAATTTGTTATATCTAGGGACTCAACTTGGTTCAGAGCAACTAAGAATATATTGTCCAGCATGACATTCATTTGGTTGGGCTCTGTATTCACCTGAGATATGCCATGGGATAGGAAATTGAAACTTGACCCGGGATTTGTTTAGTTTTGGTTGAAGTCTTGGCTAAACCATCCTGCCCCACAAACCAACCCATTGTATGACTGAGCATTAAGTAAATATTTTGAAATTGTAGAAAATTCACTAAAACCAAAAAAAAAATATGAAGCCAGGAACTGACCTACACCAACTCAATCTCAATTTATTATATTCCATGTACACAATCATAGCTTGGCTGAACAACCTAAATTTAGTGGTAATAGAAGAAGCCTTAGCTTTGGATCGTATTGGGTTACACTTATGCTGGAACGTAATTCCCCACTTTTGTCTAGTTACTCTAGTAACTTGTAGTATTCATGATTATTTTGTACAAGATATGTGACTTAGATTCTAGATGTGTTCCTTACAAAACAATTATCAGATACTTATGCTTGTAAAATATATGGTGCTATGTTTGCATGTGGCTGTGCTTGGGGGTTTCTTATGTGCTTCAAACGTCACAGTCTCTAGCCTCTTTAAGTGTTTGCACTTTGCAGTACTCTGCCTCACACACCTTGAGCCTCTGTAACTCTCTTGCTTTTTGTTTTTACCTCTCAGCTATGATAAATGCATAGGAACTTATTTTGTAAAAAATGACAAATGAACTAATTTTTTGTTTAAGAAAAAGAACTGATTTTCTCACTAACATATCTAGATCATGCTTAATAATGACTGTATACTTTTGGTTCAAGCAAGAGATGCTGAAAGCTGTTTTGCTGTCAAAATTCTTCTTGAATGTGCATGTGCAAGTATGGTGCTTGCATCTTCTCTCTCTCTCTCTCTCTCTCTCTCTCTTTTCCCCCTTATTCTGCAATATAAACCTAAATCTAAACTGATGAATTGTTTTCACTTCTATGCGTTTGATTAGACTAGTTAAATAGTTTTGGTGCTATATTTAAGCTTAACCTCTGTGTGTGTGTGCATGTGCACAGCATGTTTCAGTGTCGGATTTCCTTGTCGCCCCCAACTATGAATGTTTTTATTTATTTACAATTTTTTATTTTATTTTTATAAGTAGCCTCCAGCTATGAAGATAAACGATGATGTTGATAATGACATAATAATGATGATGATGGTAACTAAAGGTCGGTGTTCCTATTTGCCAGCCATAACTTGTGAATCCAAATTTTCTCCGGTCAAAAAGACTCGGTACTATAACTTACAAAAAAAAAAAAAAAAAAGACTCTGTACTATAGAAAATCTGATGTAAAAATGGTTCTATAGCTGCCAGACACATTAAAATTGATAATCCTGAAACAATTGATGTCATTCTCTTTAGGCTGATGGTGCCTGCTTCGTTCATCTAGTTTTATGCATCATATTTGTATTATGCTCATATTACTACCGAAATAGAGCTCTCGCTTCAGTCAACAGATGTGCTACTTTGCTGCCGTTGATTATGTTTTCTGTCAAGCAAAACAAATGGAGTTACCAAATGTATATAGTGTTATAATAATGTTTATGCTCATACTTTTGTCGCATGTGCATATTCTACATAGGCTTGTACTAATTTATTTTATTGTGGCATCAGTTTATTGATCTACTTGAAGAGCACCCTAAGTTGCTCCTGTCCAGAGCAAGTGTTTCGCACCACGGGAAGAATCTGTATATGCAGGCACCTCCAGTACTAGAAGAGATGACTCGATCAAACCTAAATCTACGGCTATTTGACCTAATGGATAAAATCCCCAAGGATATCATCCATGTGACTGGTACAACCAGCAAGGGTGACCATAAAACATCATGTTTAAGGAAACTTCGTGTTGTTTTCAAGGGAATCGATGGGGTTACAGATATGGATATGGCTGGTGGGGCATAATTTTCATGCACCTGATTTTGCATATTAATTTGGATCCAAAGTTGCTTCCGTGCCTGCACAAAATCCTTCCTCTCTTTCCCTTTCCAAGTATATTATCTCAGCGAAAGCAAGAATTAACTAGGTGAGTGTTTTGTAACATCCTTTGAAAGATGTCTCATCAAAAGGACATGAATTTAAAACCAAATGAGCTATGAGATTCGAGAAATCTCATTTGATGGCATGAGATTCAAGAAAGTTCATATGCTTACTAGAAATACATGTCTGTCGTGTTTATGTTACTTATTCAACTTGAATCTGATACAAGCAGTGAGAAGTGCATTGCTACTTTATTACTCCATTAGTTTTATTGTCATGACGAGCATGCTTTTAGAGAAACATGAAGAAAGTGAAGCATCACTTTGCCCCTTTGTGTCTCAAAAACTGTGGCTATTAGGACTTGGTATTTGGAGTCAGAACATATGCCATCTTGACATATGTTCCTTGCATTATGAACTTATGTTTATCACAGTATTAGTTCATATTAACTGTGGGATTGTCAAATTGTTACTTGTGATGCTGGTTAATAGTTTGAAATAGAAAATGAAATTGAGAGGATTCGATCGCGCGGAGCAGATAGTAGTAGGATTGTTGCATTAGTCCATGCGTGGTGAAATAGTTTCATTGTTTTGTACTTCTAAATGGATATATTGTGGTTCAACATCTTTTCCTTGCATCTGGAAGAGAAAATGACCCTCTAACAACCCCCTCCCCAATTTGAGAATTGTGCATACAGATATTATTAGAGCAGGTACGCACTCAATATGAGATTTTTTCTGCAGAAAAGTCCTTGTGGTGTTCTATATATGCATAAACACCAAAGCAATATTTATCAATCATTTAATTAACTTCTCTCTCTTCCATGTACACAACTGAAATTTGAAATTAAAACGACATTGACAAGTCGAGAACATCCATACACCATAATGTTTTGCAAATGGCGAGGTCTTTTAGCTAGCCAGCAAAATATGTGGTGTGTGGTCCAGTTGTTGATACTTATAATTCACTACTACATTTTAAGAAGAGCACAGCACAGTACATGTAGCAGAGCAAGTGGTGAATTATGTTAAAAGGTACAAAAACCCTTTAACAGCATAGTAAAGCTGGCCCATCTATCGGATAGAGGAGAAAATTTTGGTTGTGCCCCTTGCACGTCAAAGTAATGAGTGGTGAGATGTGCTGCGCTTGTCAGTACAACGGGCGCAAATAACGCAAAGTAATGAGTGGTTAGATGTGTTGCGATAGTCAGATGCACTGTGAAACGGGTTCAAATAACAAACAGTAATGACCGTGGTTAGATGCATTGTGCTAATCAGATGCACCGTGTAACGGGTTCAAATAACAAACAGTAATGACCGTGGTTAGCTAATCAGATGCACCGTGTAACGGGTTCAAATAACAAACAGTAATGACCGTGGGTAGTTGCACTGTGCTAGTCAGATGCACCGTGCAACAGGCGTAAACAAGTTTTTTCAAATGGAGGGTGGATAATTGTACTTGCTCTAGTGTGAGGAGTAAAGTATTATTACTACTAAAGGTACATAAACCCTTCCATTAGTATCATATCTTCATTTGACAATTATGGTTTATTGGCCCCACTCCAACTTGGATACAGCCTCAGCAAATTCACTGGATTGAATTGAACCCCTTTATATTCGTTTTCTGGGTAGATTGCATGATGAATGAAGGTGTTCAATCTCATTATTAAAATAATTGAATTTATTGGCCCCCACTCCCACTAGTACGAAGCCTTTTTTTGATGACTTTTCAGACAAATTTATTGCTTAACCATGATCAACACAACTGTTTGATCATAACATAAGATGAAACAGCTTTAGATCATAAATATTGTAACCCATGCATGATCTCTCGAGTGGATGAGAGAGAGAGAGAGATTGAGAACCAAGTATATTTGGTGAAGATTAAGTCTATCTTGGATGAGATATGTAGGTGTGGGTTGTTGCCTTGCTGCTCCTCATCTCTCTACCCAACTGGATAATGTCACAACACACCATGATTCGTGAGGTTGTGGGACTTAAGACAGATTGTCCAACTGCACCTAATGGCCCCACCACCCACATGCCCTTAAAGCCCATGGATCCCAAGTCACCCATCCCTTCCCTTTCCCTATTTAACACCCCATTTTATTCCATATCAACTGAAGAAAAGGAAATGCAAAAAGAAAGAGAAAGAGAAAGAACCAATTAACTTCTTTTCTTTTCTCTCCCCTTTGTTGCTCTACAAGTCTCACTGTCCAAAAATAGAAATTCAAAGTAGCTAGCCATGGAAGTAGAAGATGATGTGTTCTTTGCAGACATTAGCAAGCAAATCTCTCTCCTAATCATGGATGATGAAGAAGACAAGGTTGCCCATTGTCCTTCAGTTACTCTCCAGGTTCTTCATCATCATCTTCTATATATATATATACACATACACACACACACACATAAATATATTTTCCTTGTAGCTGCATCAGATGAAGCAAGATCCTTCTGTCACACACACATGGACACTTCTTTGTTTTTGTTCCTGGAGATATATATAAGAGTAGAAGATTAATTTACTGAAGTTCAATGAACTTCTTTTGGATATTTAGGCCTTTTCGCGGACGGTCCATCCCAGCACACAATCACCATATCCAAACAGTCAAAGTACTTGTAGAGGAGAAAGCAAAGGGACTGGAGTTTTTATCCCCCGTTCGTCGCCTCCGAGTAGGAAGAACAGGCATGGAAGATTCAGTACTACTTCATCCAACACAAAGTACCAAAGGCAGCAGCCTGATAAAGGCCTTCCTCATGTGTCTTACAACAATAACTCTAAAAGATTCTAAGTAGAGTTGCTTATAGCTAGAAGTGTTATGCATGACTCGATAATTTATTACTCTATATATATATATATATATATATATATATATATATATAATATCTTTGTCTTTATGTTGATGAGGCAAGGGTTCTATATATATATATGATTTGTATGATGTACATGGAGATTAATTAATTAAGGTTGTTAATTACTAAATTCTCTCTATTGGGTTTTGGTTTTGAGGAGGTTTCACCAAAGGATTGTGCCTCTAATCTGTAATAGGTTTCTATGGTTGTTATGGAGCTTCATTTGGGATAAGCTTCTTATGTTCATTTAATACCGCTAATTATTTCTTCTGAAAAATTGATTTCTTGGGGTGTATTTTGTTCTTATTTTTTTCTCTCTCTTCCCATTGAATTTTTCTATCACACATTGTGCACCTGAGAAAACATTGTATGGGATATAAAATTGGATGTTGTTAGTGTGTTCAACAAACTATTTTAGTTACTTTCCTAAAAAATAAACTGTTTCAGTTAGAACCAATTTAGATCAGGTGGAGTGAGATGAAATCATAAACCTATACAGACTGACCACTTTACCCTTTTAATATGTCAAAAAGATAAAAATAAGTTTCCCGGAATGAAACTACATTTGAATTATAGTGTTTGAATTATAGTAAGGATCGAATACAGGATTATAGGCTTGCTTGAATTAAAATTAACATTATGATGATTGGTCTGTTTAAACTATTAATATAATTAAATTAAGTAGAAATTAATATGAAACTGAAATTAGATTAAGATAATATCGGCAATTATTCACAAATCACCAATATTGGTTGAACCAATTTTCAAACTCACCTTGCATCTGAACAACTTGACGAGCTCATGATAAGAATCTGGATCTCCTCCTGTACGGAGGGGATTCTACGGTGGTCCTTTGTACTCAAATATTGCCATTTCAATGCAAAGCTTGCATTCCAAGATAGGCTGTGTGGACCCCAATACAGAGCTCATGAGAAGGACAATTTAGAGATGAGCACACACCATACGTTATCAGGGGCAATTTAGTCCATTGGCTGTGTAAGATCTCCAGTTGGAGGGAAAGGATTTAACTTTTACTAGCAATAAAGAGAAAGAGAACACACACTAAAGTGGCAGCTTTGAGGGATTTGCAAGTTGCTAGCCAACCTAAAAGAAAAAAGATTAGAAGATATATATATATATATATGTAGTATATATGAAAGGATGCTCTTGCTCCCAAAGTTGAATCATTAGTTGTCAATCTTGCCATTCAATCCTCTCTTTAATCACCAATTTAGTACTCATCTCTTGTATTTTGAATATTGTTGCCAAATGGACTGGTTAGGCCAGTATTATTTATAGTATTATAACCAAAAGTGAACCCTAAACATCAACACAAAACTACCACTACAAAAATTTTAGTCAATATGAGTTCCTTAACCAATTATTTATTTTTAGAGCTTCTAAATTGAATACGAATACAACTTTGAATAAAATAATTATTTAAATTGCCCAATAAGTATGATTTTTCGTGAGGGAGGCATTGGTTGCTAAACTTGCTATTGCTGACACTCGTAAACAAATGACGCGCTATAAAGAATAACATTTGACATTATTTGTATAAAAATATTACCATCCTACTTAAATCCATAATATAAGGAACGCATTACATGAAGTAATGCCCCTAACTTTCTTGCATAAACTAGTATAGACCCAATATTTGTGCAGCCCTTAAATGGATCCAATGCTCTAAGCAAAAACCTCAATACGTGAAAGAGTGATGATATTCATTACCAGTGTCAATTTCATCGACTACTTTTTAGGGGACTCACCTTAATTGATAGGGTCCACAAAAGGTCGAATAGTTTGTACGTCGATAAATTTATATTATATATATATATATATATATATATATATATATATATATATATATATATATCCTAAAGATACTAGTTGACACTTGCAAACAATAGAGAAGATTGTATTTGGTTGAATTTTCAAAAAAAAATAAAATAAATAAAAGTAAAAGAAAAAAACGGATAACCAATCCTTAATTTGTCGCTATCGAGTTAAACGCCCGTCAAGCTAATTCAACGCAGCTCCCAAATATCTTAACAAAAGAAAAGTAGAGTGAGAGAGAGATGTGGTAATGGAATATTTGGTTAGATTTGATGAGAATAAAGAAGATGCAACACTTTAAATGGGTATTGAAATCTAGTACTTGGCCACTTGGAGATATACCATATAATTTAAACAGTATAGATTGAATTATTGAATAAGAGATAAGAGAGAGAAGAAGGAAAAAAAAAAAAAAAAAAAAAAAACATCACGTGGACCCCCACTCTTTTGTTGTCGACGACTCAAACACCAAATTATGAAGAGAGTGCTTCAAAAAGAGAGGACTTACTGGGCACAATAAGACCCCAACTCTTAATGCATCAAAATAAATGAAATGATGCATCATTTGAACCCAATGAAAAGATAGACATAGCTTCACCACTTAAAATATGTACCTTCATCTCACCATGTCTAATCAATTTAAAGAAGATATGATAGGCACAAGAACTGATTTACATCTATAAGCAAGGGTGGCCGGCCTAGAGAGGGGGGTGTGGGTGGAGTATCGTTGCTAAAATCGATGTTGTAACGATATCGATAGACAATATAAAACAATCACTATCATGATACGATGACAAAATTTGAACTTATGAATTGTCTCTTAATAATTACCTTAAACCGCCAAAACTACATGCACCTTCAACTCCTTATTTTTTTATTTATTTTTTCTTAAATTAAAACAATTTGTACAAGTATTATGTGTTTGTTAGTTAAAAACAAATCATGGTTACTTTTATTAGTTAAAGACAAATCATATTAATTCAATTTTCATTTTTATTATGTATTTTGTAATGGTTACCAAGTCATCCAACAATCTCTTCTCGAAAGTTGAAAGTGTTTGATTTTATCATCGGATCATTTAAAAATATTTATCTCTTGGTGTTCGCATTATTAACTTTTGCGAGTCGGTATACACTTCCTTTTTTTCTCGAAAAGTTGAAGCAAACAAATATTAAGCACACCCATAACATGTTTTAATGAGACTTAAATTTTTATATATGTTAAAAATTATTACATGGTTCGAGACCATGTGATCCTGACTAATCACAAATTGCTACATAACTAAATGTGTCAACTTTATTTAACTTTTTAATTACGTAATAACTGGTGATTTATGAGAACCATGTAATAATTTCTTCCTAAGTTGAATGCGAGTGTACATTTCTTAACTAATAGGGTAATGAATTTGTTGAACACTTATTTCAGTCTCAAAATTTTCTTACTCCACTACTTTCACTCTTTGTTTAAGGTTATACTCTATTAATTATTGTCCATTATTAAATTATATGAGTGCACAATTATAACCATTGATGCTTTGTTTGATTGTAGGAATGAAAAAATGGATGGGAGAATAAGGGAGAGTGATGGATGAGGCTTTCTTAGGAAAGCGAAGTATTTCCCTCACTTTTTTATTTAGTTGAATGCAAAGAATAATAGAAAAGATGGATAGGGTGATAAATTTTATTTTATTTTTTATGGTTTGATTGGAAGGAAAGAAATAAGTTTTTATATTTTTTTGGGAGAAAATTTTGGTTGGGTTTAAGAAGTGATTTTGTAAATAATTAAAGATACAATTAGTATAACTTTACTTTCTTTCCTCCTATCTTTCGCCCCATTTTAAAGCCCAATAATCATTTCGATTCTGCTTTCCTAGTCCCATTGGGCTGTAAAAAAAACAACGGCCCAAACAAACTGAACGCAATCACAACCCTAACCGACCCAATCTCTCGAGCCAGCAAAATTGGATTGGGCTTAATTTAAGTATAAACTTCACAATCACACTACCAATCCTATCTGGGAAGTTCGTTCAATACTTTCGAGCAACGAATATCAAGATTGTGCTTAATTTTCACCATCACTGTATCAAAAAGAATGTCTTATTTTTTTTTTTTTCAAAATAATTATCTATTTTTCTTTTTCAAATAATATATTTTACATCTTTTCATATATATTCTTGGAATTTAAAATTCTAAAAGAAAAATTAGAATTTGGTGACCAAACTTAAACAAAATTGTTATAAGGTGACCTTAAAGTTGAGAATAGATAAATAATTATCAATTTTTAAACTTAATTGCTAACAAATGACCATTTGATAAGTTATTACACAAATATCCTTATTGTAATATATATAAAGTGTGTATACATATATATATTAATTGAACAAATTAATTCCCAACATTAAACACTTTTGATGTCTGGCAATGAGAGGATACGATGAAAACGAAGAGGGGAAGTGCAAACAAGAAGTGTGTGTGTGTGTGTTTGTAGATATATATATGTAATTCGATCAAACTTGAAAGTATGTAAATTTATAGAATTTTTTTTTTTTTTAAAAAAAAGGTTAATAAAGAAATTCTAAATTTAAGATATAAGGTTATTAAAGAATTTTTTTTTTCTATTTTTTAAAAAATAGAACAAGAAAGAGAAAGGAAAATGAATCAACAATTTTGTCATCTAAAACTTATTTTTAGAATATTTTATAAACAAGTAAGCTTTTTTTTTTTTTTTTGACTAAATTGCTCTCAAATGGTCACTTATTAGAAATTAAGTTTAAAAATTGTTCACTATCCATCTTGAGACTTTAAGGCCACTTTTTAACAAATTTTTTTTTTCTTTTTTCGTTTGGTTACCAACATCTAATTTTTTAGAATATTTTATAAACAAGTAAGTTTTTTTTTTTTTTTTGGGAAATATATTGCTCTCGAATGGTCACTTATTAGTAATTAAGTTTAAAAATTATTCACTATTCATCTTTTCTTCTTTTTAACAATTTTTTTTTTTTTTTTTTTTTACGTTTGGTTACCAACATCTAATTTTTTCAATCCTAAACTTGAATATTCAAAATTTAAAAAGACAAATTAGAAACTTTTCATAATATTAGACAAGTTAGGAACTTTTTAGGGCACAGTAGATGGCTAACATGTGCTATTAAAAATTCAATGTACTTTTTGGGATTGAGGGAATATAAACTTATGCACATGAATACGACGTCGCTTATGCGTCACCTAAATTATGTAGTCAAGTAAGTCAACACGTCTGACATTACTAGCATTTGTTTCAGAAGCCCTCAAAGAAGCTTCATCAATGGACATCGCTTCTCTCTCTCTCATCCTTCTCGTACCCGTCTCTCTCATCGGCTTTCTCTCTCTAATCACCCGTCCACGTCCGGTAAAGGTCCCGATCAAGGGCCGACACGTGTTCATCACCGGCGGATCAAGCGGCATCGGCCTAGCTCTGGCCCACCAAGCCGCATACGAGGGCGCACGCGTCTCGATCCTCGCTCGCAACCCCGACAAGCTCGAGGAAGCGAAGCAGTCGATCCGGCTTGCCACCGGCATCGACGTCGCCGTCTTCAGCGCCGACGTCCGTGACTTCGACGCCGTCAAGAGAGCGGTGGAAGAGGCCGGGCCTATCGATGTATTGGTTTGCAATCAAGGAGTGTTTGTGCCCCAAGAATTGGAGACTCAGGACTTGGAGGAGGTGAAGTTCATGATGGATGTGAATGTGATGGGGACTTTTCATTTGATCAAAGCGGCATTGCCTGAGATGAAATCTCGACTTAATAGAGGACCTGCTTCAATCGCAATCATGTCATCCCAAGCTGGTCAGGTATATACACACTTACTTATATCTATAAGTACAAAAGCTACTGAATTAGTGTGTAGACAACTGTAGAAGTTCAATTTGGGGGTTGAAGTTTAAACCTTGAATGCTAGAACTTTATGAAAATATTGATATGAATCTATCATTTGTAGTCACTACTGAAAAATTGTCATTTTAGTTTCTTATAATATTTCAGATGTTAATTTCTGTTCTCTGTTGTCATTATACAACTGCATTATTTCTATGTAAATAGAAACTGGAGTTGGCATATATAACTTTGAGAGTGCTTTTTATGTGATTAACTACAGAGCTACTGAATTAGTAAGTAGAATAGTTAACTATAAAAGTTCAGCTTGGGAGCTGAAATCTATGACCTCGAATGCCAAAACCCTATTAATTATTAGTAGGAATGTATAGTTTATAGTCATTAGTCAGTATTAGGAAATTGACATATCAACATTCCAATCATTATATAGTTGGATTTAAAAATTCAGGTTTGATTTTGTGGTGTTTGGGGGCTTTAAAATGATTATTTGTTGTCCTTCTGTGATTTATTTTTTATTTTAATCGGGTTTTTTTTTTCTAGGTGGGTATATATGGTTATACAGCTTATTCAGCTAGTAAGTTTGCCCTCAGGGGCATGGCAGAAGCATTACAGCAGGAAGTTATTGCAGAAGACATTCACGTCTCACTTATATTCCCCCCAGACACTGAAACCCCTGGTTTGGTGGAAGGTTTGGAACTTTAATCCTACTTTATTAGTGGCAAGCATAAATTATTCAATAATTCATTATGTTATCTTGTTATTGCTAGTTGCAGGTGTCATGTCAGATTTGTAGCATCTAAAAAGATCTGCTAAATCCTCCTTCATGAATCCTAACCCTTCTTGGAGGTTAGGTTGGGGGCACGAATCCCTTATAATGCCACTCCCAAGAAATTTTAGTAATTGCCTGGTTCATGTGGGACGGGTGGACTTTATGTGCCTGGCGGTGGACTATGGTTTGCTCTAAGGGCCGGCACCACAACCGTCAACAGGGGAAAAAAAAAAATCCTGACCATTAATCAAAAATTAAATTTAGGAGTCATGAAAGAGTCATAAACCATTACTTTGAGTGTATTTGGTTCTTAATATACTTAAGGTGTTGTCTGAGAAAGCTGAGTTTTTAAAATTTTTCAATGTGGAATAATTAGTCATAAGTAATGTAACCTGTTGTATTTTTAGAACTGGAAATTTATATATATTTGTATTTTTTAAAAATAAGTTAAATTTTAAAACCATCTTTCACTTGATACATTCAACATTTAGTGAAAGACACACACACGAGATTTAGTGACGAGTATCTTTTACTCAAATTTCAGACCCTTTCTAAGTTGACTGTTCATTTTAAGTGGTAATTACTTATGCTTACTAAACACACTTGACAGAATCAGCACCAAAAATATGGATCGCATCGAGCATTGATAAATTCTTCATCTCCTTTATTTTTCATTTTCTTTTTTGAGTTTGGGGTGGAGAGATGAAGTGTTCTACACATCAACAATGGAAATATGGATCAACATCGGGCACAAAAGAGAGCATTGTTACTCTTTATAAATATTTTGGTTAAATAAAAAACTTGATAAGGGGGGATGGGGTGGAGAAGAAGAAAGAAAGAAATAAATAATGAGACGGTGAAAGTAACTGTGGACAAATTACAACTCATTTGAAGCAAAAAAATCTTTGGCAAGATCCTAAAAGACAGCTTATGATCAAGCCTTTAAATTGGTTTGGGTTGAGAGTGAAATTAATATTGTATTTCAGAAGTTCTACATTTCTTCCGTTTCCTCTTTTGGGTTCATCTAACTAAAGGTAAGTTGAAGTACCTTTTCTTCCCCTGCCTCCTACTTGTGATGTTCTTTATTTTTCATTTTTCAAACTAATCAGTTTGACCTAAATGGTCTTCTCTTTTTCTGCTGATTAGGGCTCCATAGGATAGACTAGAATTTTAGGGTGAAGTATGTTTTATGCTGGGGCTGTGAACAGCAGCACATGAACAGTAGTTATAAAGAAGAAAAAGATGAAAAATCTCACCTACAATTCATTTGGAGTAACCTCCTGTGGTTTGGCTGTATCTTGGCTGTTGAGTTTCTCGTAATTTTACGCGGACTTGGCTTGTAACATAGGAAGTTTTCTACTCTAGCCCTACCAATGACTTTATATGAAGACCTAATAACATAACTTGATCCAATATGACATCCATGGACCACACTACAGCACATGTCAAAGAAATGTAGAAATGATCACAATAATTGAGACTTCTAAAATATAAGAAACATAAAAAGGTAATATAACCCTTTATTTGACTCATAGCTTGATTACATAAGGTCTTAAGCATAATCCACGTGAAATTATTAATTTGGCTATTTTCTATTTATCTTACTCTGCATTATTTTTTTCTTTATTTCTAATGGCAGTTGTTAATTATAGAGGCTTATAATATTCGAACTCTGTTCCTCTTCATGTTTGTAGCTTAGGCATATGCCTTATAGGCTTAAAGTGTCTAGATTTTCTTATGTTCCACTGACACATCTTTGGAATTTGCTAAAATTAATTTCTAACTCGAATATTACTTCTAACCCATAATAGTCATTTTTGTATAAACAACCAGTATTAATTGTTCTTGTCATATCTGTGTAAAGTTAAACTTTGCTGGAATTTTATTTTGTTTTTCTGTTTGAGAATTCATTTGTTCTTTAGTTCTTTTTAAAAGATCATTGCTTGTTGCAGAAAACAAGAGAAGACCACAGCTCACCAGTATCATAGCAGCTTCCTCTGGTGCAATGAAAGCCGATGAAGTTGCCAAGAAAGCTTTGAATGGCATAAAATCTGGTAGTTTTTTTGTCCCTTGTAACTTTGAAGGACACTTACTGGCGATAGCAACTGCTGGTCTATCCCCTCAGAGATCATTCCTGATGGCATTTGTTGAGGTGGTTGCCGCTGGTGTTGTGCGTGTTGCAGGTTTATGTTTCCAATGGAACTGGTATGGAAGCATAGAAAAGTGGCATGCACAAAAGAAATAGTAAGTAGGCCATCTAACATAAAACAATTCATTTTCTGTCATCCCTCTGAACTATATATTTGGAACCTGTACTTGTTAATTATTAGCCTAATTAATTATAGAAAATTGTGATTTTATTATCTAGGAACAACTTATGGTCCAGTTGTGGAAACTTGTGGCAGCATCAGATTTTTGCTTGTTCTCATTGTTATACTGGAAACTTTTTTTTTGTTTCATACCCAAAAATCGTTTAGATTACCCCATAGTCAATATAATCGTTCTCTGAGCTATGTATAGATGGTTGAGAACTAGAATCAAAACAGTTAAGAACATTTCTTTCTTGCATTCAGCTGTATTTAAATATTTCAATTTTAGTTTGTTTGAATAGCAATTAGAAGAACCACGCTTACCATGTTCTTGATGAAGTATAGTTAGTATTCATTGGCTGCTGCTGCTTCTTCTAGTACTATGATGTTGTTGTGACTTGGGTGTCGTAGAAAAAAATACTGTTGATTTGACATTTATGAACTTGATTGTTCTATTGTACTTCTACAATAAGTTATTTAAGCCATGACCAAGATAATTGGTGGAAGGTAAAAGTGCTGATAAACTCTCCCACGCTCTCAATGGTGCAAACATTTTCACATTACAGTTCAAACAATATTTACAATTTTCAAGGTGCAATCATGGTTACTTGTTTTATTTGAAAAGATGAAGCCTTTCTTTTTATTGTATGCTATATTCCTTTTTATACATTCGTGCTGGCTTCTGCAATCAGATTTTTGCATTTGCCTTAACTAACTGAGAATCTGATAGTGCCATTCTTGATACCATTTTGCAAGCATATTAGTCATTTTTCCCTTCTTTGGTGGGAATGAGTTGGTACTTAAATAGCAAGGAGTTTGTTGGCATAAGGATCTGATTTTTTTCTTTTCCTTCTTTTAGGATCCAGGAAGTTTTTTGGTGCTCAACAAAGGCATGTGCCCCTCTAGATGGCGGCTGTCTATGGCGATTGCTTTTCCCCCTTAAATGTATACTGTCATGACCGGTTTTAGGAATTAAAGCTATTTGAGCATCACTGTTTTGGGAACTGAATCTTACTTTCCCCCTCTCATTGTGTTTCCCGGACTTGAATTATTCCAAGTTACTACATTCTTGAGATCATTACCTGGCTTGATGAATTGGAGATGGCACCTCGTTGTTCCTTCCATCCATAGAGTGGACTCTATATTTTGGCAAATTGGGTTAGCTGAAATCAATTTTCAAATTAGAAATTGACCATTTTCTCTTCAATATCTGATCAGAAAATTGCTCAGAAATGTATATAAATTAGTACCGTAAATTATGTCCTTAATGTGCCGAAACGTCAACTAATAAAGTAAATATGTTTCTTCTCTTCCATGTTTGAAATCAATATGAAATGGTGAGGGGCTAATGAAACGGGAAGAATTGTACTCGTGTCATAGAAGCTAAAATACCTTTAGATGAGGGGGGGTTTTAAGTCGAGGATAATGATGTCGTCTCATTTTTATTTTATTTTATTTTATTTTATTTTTCCATTCTCTCAAGCAAATTATTGGGAGAGAAATTTGAATATGGACACATCTGTTATAGAGCCTAATTGGCCATGGACACACCTTTTATTTTCCACTGACAATGACCAATTATGTCATTTCATTTACCATCTGTGCTACTAAATTGGCGTATGATACGGGAATTAAAGGCAAGGCAAGCGAATTCTTGGGAGAGAGATTCGAACATGGACAGCCTAATTGGCCATGGACACACCTTTTATTTTCAACTGATAATGATCAATTATGTCATTTCATTTACCATCTATGCTAGTAAATTCGCGTAATACGCGAATTAAAGAGAAAATACTCTCAGCATTTTTTTCGATCATTCGTGTTTATATTTTAGAGTAACCTAATTGTTTTTTTCTTTTTGTTCAAGTTTCTAAAGGTTCTTAACACACACTACCGTCTTTTATTTGATATATAGTCATTCTTTTTCACACAATCAAAATAATACTATTTGTTGTGCAAGAAGGTTGTGACTACTCAGTTGTGGTATCTTTATTATTATTATTATTTATTATTTTTTTTTTTCAAAAGTTTGTAGATCACCACATTAGTGTTTAGTAGAATATAAAAGTATTTTCGCAAGTATCACACCATATACTTATGCATGTATAGGCTATCAAGGAAAGATGAGAAAAAAATGGATTAATTTGGGGATCATGTTAAACAATTAGAAGGAGTGTTGTTTCAAGAGTCAAATCACGTTGGGGTAAAAGGCAGAGATATTAAAATTTGTCAAAAGTATCCTAAGAGGTTCAAGCACCTACATTTAATTTTTAATTTATGCAACATAGTTGATTATTTGAATTAGATTTTTTTCATTAATTTTGTGATGAATTAATCATGCTATGGACATATGATTATTAATTAATTATATTTAGATAGTTTATTTCTTTTATAATTATTGTGATAGTGTTAATTGTAATATATTTATTTATTTTTTTGTTACATATTTTTCATTATCCTTACAAATATATGATATATAAGTAAATAATAAGATGCGTATAGCGGAATTTTTGGTTCTGAATTTTTAGTGCACATAATGTATTTTACATGTACGTATTTATATTCATATTCTTATGCTTTCGTAAATTATATTCGTACATTTCCGTACTCGTATTTTTATCGTGTGTGTTTGAATTTATAATTAATAATAATAAATATTTTTGGGAAGATATACAAATTTAATAATTAATCATTATGGACCTTACATAACAATTTAGCCAGCAATTAATACTGAGACTAACCCGTAATATTTGGAGCTGGAGCTGAAGAAGAATTTTGATACACTTACCTAACACTAAAACCATTCATTGTTGCTGCAGAGATTGATGGCGATTAATACTGAGACTAAGCAGTAAACAGGGAAATCAATAGATTTTAGATACTTATTGATTTTGAATGTAACATGAAACCAGTTTATAAATAAAACCCTATTATAGAAACCAATATATAAATACAACTACCCTAGCATACTATAGATATAGTTATTGTTGTTAATGGTTTGAATGCATTAGAGTGGACGAATAGGATTTAACTTTCTACAATACTCCACAAATATATCATACATATTTAACAATTTCTACAAGTCTATCTTATATATATATGTGTTGTTAAGTACATTTTACTTAAATTACTTCTACTAGAGGTTAAAATATTGAACATTAACAACAATAACTTAAGTAATTCAAACAAAATAGAGCAGCAAAATAATATTATATAATAATAAATAAAATACTTAAAAATAATAAGAAAAAAACTAGTCGGCATGTGAAATAAGGTTAGACTCCTCCAATGTCAATTAATGATTCTCCAATGAAAAAAAAAATATTGAGAGAAATTGGAAATGCTATGTACATATACAAATATTTTTATAAAGATAGTATTAAACAATTTTTCAAATAACTAAATTCAACATTAAATTTTAACCTTAAAATTCAGCATTTAAAATTTTCAGCATTTAATTTCATATTTCATTCATTTCATGTTTTTTTTTTTTTTTTGATAACCCAGAACTCCCTGAAGCAACAAATTGGGGATATTATAGCCTGTCCCACAACTGCAATACCAGGTAAGTGAACGAAACTAGAGGCTTGGTAGAAAACTCGAACCCTGACACCCTGTGTGGCAGTCCCAAACCCCACCATCATTGTTTGAGTTTCTATTACAGTGCAAGTTGCCATTTGTATCTGTTAGTACCTGTAGGAAGAGAGACTACACGATTAATAAGATGACGAGGCTGTTGCTGATTTTTCATTCATTTCATGTTGCTATAAAGCTCTGATTTATTTTATTTTTTGGTGTAGAATGTCTGTTTTTTATTTTATTTTATAAGTAAGCAACACACGCACCTACACGTACCCACTCCTATATGCGAGGCTCCAATGACTCAGTTACCGTTTTTGAAAGGGATGCTCGTACTACTTCAAGGGTGGTCACGAATCGGATCGAATTAAGCATTAATTTTAATTCGATTCGCTCTTAACAGATTAATTTTTTTTAATTCATCACCAATCTGTTATCTCACGGATTCGATCCGATCTGTGTAATGGCGGATCAGGTCGAATGGAATCCGCAAATTAAATTTTATCTAAATTATCTATTATTATTATTATTTTTATAAGTAATATTATTTATTATTTATTTAACTTTTAATCCTAACCCAATACATAAAATTTTAATTTATTAATATTAGCTCATATATTTAAATAATTATTAACTAATACATTTCTAAAGCCCAAGAAATTATCATTAACTAATTAAATTAACTAATATATTCTTTGAAAAAATATATATAAATTTCATGGATCATACTCGATTTTTAATAGCTTAATATGTGATCCGATCCGTGGGCTATAGATTTAATTTTTTTGAATCCGTCACCAATTCATGGGTGTAGCAATTCTATCCAAATCGGACCGAATTCGCAAATTCACGAATTATTTGTGCCCACCCCAACTACTTGGTTCCAATTGTCATAGAAAAAGGAATTCATATTATTATAAAATAAAAAATTGAAGGATAAATTTTTATTTCTTTATTATTATTTACATTCATTTTTTTTATTGGAATCGTATGAGAAAATACAACTTGGACAAAGCTTGGCCAGACTTAAAATTTATCGTATTATTTTTACGTGATTAGGAGGTTAGATAGGGTAATGATCTATTATTTTTCTTATAAATAGAATAAAATGCAATAAACTATTGATAAACATGTAAAGGACCCTGAACTATAAATTATGCAAGAAACTCTTAAACTATGCAATTTTGTTACAAATTACCCTGTCCATCCAAAAATGACCGTAATTTGAAGCATGTGACATACCAACTGAATTTTATGAACAATAATACCCTTACATATATGAAAATATCAAATTACCCTACCATGATCGTTAGAGCCAACACCCCTTCTAGTACACAATATATACCCCTTATATACACACAAACATCTTAAATTGATTCCCCAAATCAAATACTCAGTATCTGTTTATGATTGAATCCTCTCTCTCACTCACCCGCGGTTTAACGGAGGAAAAAAAAAAAAACACCTTTAATACTGAATCAATGAATCAGATACTTGGAACAATCTGACAAACACTTCCATTGAAAGAAAAAAAAAAAAAGTTCATTCAAGAAAAAGTAAAGAAAACAAAATATGGAAGTTAAAAACAAGGAACATATCTAAAATTTATTTTTAACAAAAATAAAATAAATCAGAAATTTATCACATATGTTCATCATACATATTCATACACACAAGTAAAACCTAATTGATGTAATTTAAACAGAAAGACAGCAATCCAGCATCTTTCTTCCCATTAAGAAATTATTAATATTAAAGGAAAACCCAGAAAAAAAGAGAAGATAGACATATACAGGGAATCGTGCAAACTGCAAAGTAAATTGTATTAGGGTCAAAGAAGGTTACACTAAGCGAATTTCAGAAATGCATTATGAGGTGAACTAATTTATTTTGAAATGGGTTAGTATTACTTAAAATATATATATATATATTTTTGGGGCTGGACTAAAATTACCTCTATATATATATATTTTTTTCCCTGAGGTGGGTTCACGTTCTTTGCAAAAACTGCTTTTTTTATTATTTCTTTTTCGGGGGGTTTGCTTAATGGTTTCAGGAACAATGTACACGATGAAATGGAGTAATTGGGGTTTAATGGGTATGATGTATTCTTGAGATTTGACTTGTTGCAAATTTATTGGCTCATTGAATTTCATTTTACACCTAAGCAACTTAAATATATAAAGCTTCAAACTATGTCGTTTTACTTCAGGGTAATATTGTCTTTTAACTTTTTCGGCTTAGGATATTGAAGTAATGGGGGTTAAATGCAACAAATGTTAGTTCGAGCCTTCGAGGGGATTTTTTTGGATTTCTTGTAATACCCTTTATAAATATGACAAACAAGGCCTAAACCAATATGGGTATCCGAATCACTTTGATAGACCAACGTTACCGTCATCGTCCAGTAGATGTAGACCCAACATTTGTATGAGAAAATGCTTGAAGCTGCACACAGATTCAAAGAAGAAAAGAATCAACAGAGTCGGTGAGATAGAGGAGCTGAGAGTGTGAAAGTGAATCAACAATGGCCTCTGCAATGTTGAAACGAGCTGCGACGATGAAGTCAATGGCCGGAAGTCTCCGAATCGCAGCGGCGTCAAGGGCTTACGCCTCGGTTGCAGTGGGGACGGACCTAGTCTCGGCCGCACCCGATGTTTCCCTCCAGAAGGCTCGAAGCTGGGACGAAGGTGTCTCCTCTAAGTTCTCCACAACCCCTCTCAAAGACATCTTTAAGGTTCACTAATTCTAAGCTCAATCTATCTACGTTTTTAAACCTATTAAGGGTTTTATTTTGTATTTTTATTAATCTCACTTATATTTTTTTCTTTTGTTCTTTTTGTTTATTTTACTTTTCAGGACAAGAAAGTCGTTATCTTTGGCCTCCCTGTGAGTTTACTAACCTTTTGTTTATTATATATATATGTATACATACATATTTAGATATAATTAGGTATTTGTATGAATGCACACACAAAAACATGTATACACAGTCACTGTAATGCTTTGTGGTAAATAAAATAGGAACACCTTTATGTTGCAAGTGATGAGAAATTGAGAATCAACAAGTAGACTTAGTTTTTACAATTGAGGACAAATACCCTGTTTGATTTTGAGTTTGATTTTTTTTGATGAATCAATTGGTGCCTAATTACATGAATTTAGAATAATTTGTTTGGAATTTGATTTCACATTGGACTATGAAATGTGATTTAACTGATTGGGGATATCAGTATAGAGTAAGCTACCAATGAAAGGTTTGTCCTACGGAAACATAAGAAAAGGGAAGTCTTGTTACCTTATCATAGCTATACGTGTAAATGACACAAATTTCAACCCTTCTTCACATGATGGAAATTGGCTTCTGCCTTTCCTTATTAAAAAATGGATTTTCCTCTTAACTTGATTTCTTCTTGATGAGGCACAATAGTTTACATTCCATCCTTGTGCATTCATATCTTCAATAGCACAGACACAATTATTTCCAGTCTCTTGCATCTGGACATCCGCATTTCCTATAAAATTTTGTCTTCACAGAATTAAATGATTCCTAGGCTGAACTACTACGATAAAAAGAAGGCATTAATTCTAAGAAAGTGGGAGTTATGCTGTTTGGATTTCTTATAGAACAAATTCAGTAAATCCTGAACATGTATATCCTTTCTTATTCTATTGCCTTAGTTTTGAGCCTTGCATCTTTATCGAACCAAATTTATTCTTCATTGCTTCAATGATAAAATCAAGGATATGAAAACATCCAAAATCATAATTCCATAATTTCATGGCAAAAGAGCAACTCTTTGACTTCCAACCCTCAAACTTTGTCAAATATGAAAAGAAAAAGCTATCTTTTGATTTGGTTTACTTATTTATAGAACAGTTGTTTTGTAACTACACAAGAAGTTTACTTTTAGTAGCTCTATACCTTTAATCATTCTATGGATTAAACTATGAACTATAAAATTGTCTATCTTTCAATAATATAAAGAAAATAAGTGCCTGAACATTTTATCATGGTTGTGGGTACATCAGCACAAACATTTTATCATGGTTGTGGAATCATCAAAATTCCTAATTTCATATCATGCACTATTAACAAAAAGCTTGACCTCATTCCTCGAGCTTGATCAAGCAAGGAAAAATGCTCCTCGATCTAGTTTAGTTTCCCTGAACCGTCTATTTCATCATAAGCTGCCCTGTAGAACCATTATGAATTACGAGTGGTCAAATTAGTGGTCATTTCTTTATTTGAGTATGAGTTGGGTGGGTGAGAGCGAGAGGGAGGGGAAGGGAGGGAATGGAAATGTGTGGCAAATGATGAGACTTTTGTGATCTTTAATCAACACTTGTCAAGTGAATAAGGACATGTTTCAGAGATGACTAAGAAGGTAAACAGAAGCATCCTCAGTAAACACACATGCACAAAAACACACCAAAAAAGATATATTTTATCTGCAAGAATGTAAAATTACCCAAAACTGGGATCTGGGTTTTGTAGCCAGAAGGGTCCATATTAATACATAATAAATATTTAGGAGACCCTGACATAAAATTTATTCGTTTGTTTTCTTAATTTGACATTTTTGCTATATATTGCATCATGAGGTTTATTTTGCTATCTTCCAGGGTGCTTTCACAGGAGTTTGTTCGGCTCAACATGTGCCAAGTTACAAGAAGAATATCGATAAGTTCAAGGCCAAAGGAGTTGATTCTGTAATTTGTGTAGCTGTCAATGATCCATATGCCATGAATGGTTGGGCAGAGAAACTTGAAGCCAAAGATGGTGTAAGTTGTCCCCTTGAGTCGTTCCTTCAAAACTTGTAGTTTTAATATGTTAATGGTTTCATGTGCCTTTATTTGGCCCACTCATACTTCATAGCCCATTTGCATAAATTTTTAACTTCCCTATTCTTCACTTCAACATACGGGAGGAAAGATGAATCAAATTTTTTTTGTTACCAGCCCTAAACCCAAACCCTAATAGACATTGAAAAACTTGACCAATTTTTTTTCCTGAAAAAATAAGGTGGCTTCATTACTTAGCCTTGCTTGCTGGCTTCGGAATACATGGAACTTTTATATATTATTGAAATAAATAGTGATAACATGAATTTGAAGGGAAAATATCCTGAAAAATAAATATCAAGCAACTATTTTTATTTTTTTTTTCAGTAATTGAAAATACCAACAATTATTAGCAACATTTATTATGAAATAGCATGTCTCTAAGATATACTTGTTCCCCCTGGTGAATCTCAAGCTATACTTATTAGAAATACTTTTTCCTAGATCTTTTGGTCCCCTCCCAGATCAAATGATTTCGACTCCATGGTTTGTAGTATCAGCACCATTCAAATACTGTTATTTTTTTATAAGTTCCGTTCAAATATTGTTATTAGGACTGTCAAAATATACAAAGGGGAACTGGCATCAACACCTAGGAAAAATGAGCTTGATCACTTTATGCAAAAATTGTTCAGGTTATGATGGCATTCCTTTTTGAATTTTTAGCCATTGATTCGGTTTATATTAGTTTTCCAGTACCACTGCACAAAGACATGTAGTTGGATTATTTTAGAAACTGATTTACTAGAACTTGATAATTTTTTTTTTTTTTGAGTTGGCTGTACTTCTCTAAAAGATTTATATACCAAAAAAAAAATAAAAAATGGAACTTCTGGACCTTCTCCAAACTGTCCTTCCCCATGCCCATTTAAATTCTCAAATTAAAGATAAAAACAGGCATTTGCTCTCTTATAAGAAAACCACATAATGATGCATATTAGATATGTTAAAAATATGGCTGTAAAAACCTTAATTATTGAGCTTCTCATTAGATTATGTCAATCTTTCAGTCGTATCTATATCAGGCATATCAATTGATCCACAAACCGAGCTATGGTTATGCTATCTTTTTGGCCTACTATTTTTCCTTAGAGGCCATATTTTTACTTTTTACTATTTGAATTTGGCAATTTCTTCTGTTTGGTGTTCACTTGTTCAGTTATGTTAATCTCCAAATGAGATCTTTTATTGTCAAAAGAGCCTTCATTTTAGTTGTATAAAACTTTTTATAGCTGCTTCAGAAAGTTAGCTCATAGTGTTGACTGATGAATAAAAATCTTAAAACCATAAACTCTCCTATCTGGTCAGCCAGCTAGAAGCTCTAGGTCTATCTTTGAGGTACTTTACGGTTCCTTGGTATGTGGGAAGGGGCAGGGTATACTAAGATGGTGCCTTGAGAAAAGAGGTTGGCTTCTAAATATGATCGTACTATCGGGTAACATGCGGCGGTGTTTCTTGTATTATGTTTGAAATCTTGGGCTCCATGATCTGTGGCCCAATCAGATTTTGTGAGCCTGTTCTTGTCATTCAAGCTGTACTTTTTTCTTGTACAAAAGAAGTACCATTAAAATTTGGATGAATTACTTAAGTCTAAACTAAGAGTAGGTGGATATGAGAGTCAATTAACACGTTATCATGTAAACAACAGCAAACAAAATTGAAAGATAAATGGGAAATTAGGTTTTGGGGAAGACAATTAAGTTTCTTAGCCAGTTCTTCGTCATGCATAATATATGGGAAAAATTTAAAAGAAGTTTCTCCTTGTAATAAATTTAATTTTCACTTGATGAGTTAATGCTACTCTGCTGGTGTTAAATGCTTTGAAATGGTTTCACTTCCATGCAATGGCCATGAACTGCATTGATCTGCCTGAGAGCAACATTTTTGTTTTTTTGTCCATCTAGATTGAATTTTATGGTGACTTTGATGGCAAGTTCAACAAGAGCTTGGGTTTGGAAATAGATCTATCTGCTGCTCTGCTTGGACCTCGCTCTCATAGGTATGAGATTAGTTTCTTTAATATCATTTAACATGCTTGTTCACCATTGATTTGCTTGAAATAGTTTTTAGAAGAGAAATAATGGAATTTTCTTGTGCTATGTTACTTTGTCACTATTCCGAATTTATGTTGCATGCTCCTCATAATTCTATTGTTTTTATGCAGATGGTCAGCATATGTGGTTGATGGAAAGATTAAAGTTCTTAATGTGGAGGAAGCCCCATCTGAGTTCAAAGTATCTGGTGGGGAAGAAATTTTGGGAAAAATATAATGTTGTTTCAGTTTCTATTACAGTGCAAGTTGCCATGTATTTGTATCTGTTGGTACCTGTAGGAAGAGAGACTACACGATTAATAAGATGACGAGACTGTTGCTGATTTTTTTTTTTCCTCTGGAAATTAATGTTGCTGAAGTTAGCTTCAATAATGTTGTAAATAATGACAATTCATGGTGCCTTTGCTTTGATAATAGGATTTACAGTATATTAATATGACTCGTATCAACATAATTACTTTGACAATCTTGAATATTAGTATTCGATTATTCTGGTGCATATGTCTGTCAGTAAGAAGCTTCTTTGAGACTGCTATAATCTGACAGTAACAAAATATCCAAGATTATTGAACTCCTCAACTATGAGGAGTTTTGGCTGCAGGATTTATTTTGATGAGAAAAAGATAAACTTGTGGATCATAACAGTTGTGAACTGACATGACAATGATAGGTATAAATAAGTCTTTTTTTTTCTTTTTTTTTTTGACAAGAAATTTACACACTTATTTATCCTATTTATCCGGAATTTGAATTCTCACTATTTTTATTTTAAAGGTAGAAGAGATGCACAAGGAGGCGACTGACGTGATGTGACAATAATCTATTCATTCACCACCGATAAGGGCAATGATCGGTAGAAACAAGTCTTCTGAAGAAAAAAATTAAAAAAAAATGAACAGCTAGGGTATTTGATAATTGAGATTATGTTTATGATGAGAAATTCTTGTTTTTCAAAATATACAATTTTAATTAATAGTAGTATGAATGGTTTTGTTTTGGTTCAACCATGCAAAAAAAGAAAAAAATTAACAGCAAGGGTATTTGGTAATTGAAATTATGTTTATGATGAGAAATACTTGTTTTGCAAAATATACAATTTCAATTAAAAGTAGCATGAATGGTTTTGGTTTGGTTCAACCATGTCTAAAAAGCAAGCTCAATCGACTCAACTTGGTTGACCGGCGGTGTCACTAAAGCCGTAATTGGAGTAGTACATGCCAAATCGACTCATATGGGAAAAGTCTGAGGTGACACGTATGACAGAAACATTGCACAGGTGTCAAGTAGGATGATGACTCAGATTTACCTGGACCCACTTGCTCGGTTTGGATAATTGCAATCCCCACCGAGTCCACATGATGGTTTGCGTATAAATCTTCTCTCCTCTGTTAATCACTCATGAATTCCTCTAAGCCTCAACATCAAAGCTTTTCATACACACACGCATATATATATATATATATATATATATAGCATCTGTCTTTGGTTTTTCTAAATCAGTGCATTCCTTCGCAGTAAAGCTAGAAGTTCCCACCACAGACACAAAGAGGCAGCCCGGGAAAGAGCATGTCATGAACCCAATTCCACAGGCCATAAACCCTGACTACAAGCCTTCCAACAAGCTTCATGATTGCTTATTGTCCTTAATTCAACTGCTTAATAAACGACTCAATACGCGTGTCTATATATATATATATAAGGAAAATTATTAAATGATCTGCCATTATGTGGTTCCACCAAGTTGTCATACAATCATGTTTTGTGTAAAATAAAAATAGGAAGTTTTATTTTTATTTTTATTTTGATTGACTGAGATTACATGGTTCATACGAAGTTAGACAGAATGGGTTGCAGTGATCAAATCAAGCAAAATTTCCATGTATTGAGCATGATTCATTAAGCTGATTCTTAGTACAGAAGATGACTCAGTACACCTGATTAACTTACTGAAATGCATGATTGATTTGGGTCTTAATCTTTCTCCATAAAACATTCTCACGTTCTAATTAATGACATTCTAATGTTGATTATTATGTCTTATTCAATATTACAAGCTTCTCTTACATGGTACATTAAGGTGTTTTCACACTAAAAATTAGCGTCTATCAAATGCCATTCATAACGAACTTTAATATGGTATGTTGGTTGGTGGTGGATGCAGAAAAGAAAGAAGAAGAAAAAACACACGCACAGAAACTGATAATTGATCTGACGTGGTGGGGTGCAGGCATGCTCTGAAACACATGAGAGAGGGGAGGTGCATTATCAACTCGGCATCGGTCGTTGCCTACACAGACGGTCCGATGATGCTAGACTACAGCGCAACCAAGGGAGCAATTGTGGCTTTCACTAGGGGTTAAGCCCTCCAGCTGGTCCAGAGAGGAATTCGAATCAATGCTGTGGCCCCTGGTCCTGTTTGGACTCCCTGCAACCGCCCTCTATGCCCGAAGCCAGTTAAGGGTCAGGGACACCAATGGGCAGGGCTGTGCAGCCCCATGAGATTGCACCATCTTATATATTCCTCGCATGCAATCACTGCTGCTCCTACTTCACTGGCCAGGTTCTCCACCCCAATGGTATGTATTACGCGGGTGGTGAGATAATCAATGGTTGATATGGAACTTGGCGTGTGATTGTATGATTTTCGGCGTCTGTCTTACCTTTTTCAAAGGTAGTATGCTAGTATGTGTAATGAGATCCAAGTGTTTGTGTCCATAAGAATTTGTGAGAAATAAAAGACCACCTGGTTCTGTCTCTCTTACTTCTGATGTAAAGTCTATTGTAACTTTAAAAAGTTCTAACAAATAGCCTTGAATTCTATACCTGCGAGCAGCAGAATTATCTGGGTGAGTAATTTTTACATTGTTCCAACCAATCACAACTCGACAATCAATTTCACCATATAGCCCCAAACCATGTAAAAATTTCTCCATTTGTTCTCGTGGGTTCCTCCCTTTGTGATTACCAAGCAGATCACCTTCTGGTTTGGCTCAACTTTAAGGAACGACTCTCCAAAGTTGTGAGCCTGTTAAATGTTGTGGTCATTTGAATCAGGTTCTCTCTTTTCTTCATTTGAATGTGTCAGATTTAGAAATAGGCTCTTGCAACAAAAAACCCAATGATTGTTTTCACAGCAACTAAGAAATAGGCCATTGCAACAAAAAATCTGACTTTGTTGCCTTATGAAGCATTAAACTACATATATCCGAATGTGTACTCAAGACTATCTTGACCAAACGTTCCTGAATTGCTACATTAATATTTGTACTCGACAATACTGAAACCATTTCCTGAGCACTATAACTTCAATTAGACTATGAAAACTGAGGGAATTTTGTAAGAATATTTGTCGTCTATTCACCCAATCTAAAAAGATAGAGGCACAGCAAGTCAATACAAGTAAAATTTCATTAGCTAAAAGGCGACTAGTACCGTTTAAACAAACATGAGTAGACATTTAAATAGTAATTAATTGTGAAGTCAGTCTCCAATTAGCATATAGAATTATTGCAGGACGCAAACCAACCGCCCATTTCAAGAATGACGGACTGATTTTCTTTCAACACGTCACTCGCATTCTTCAGCAGGGTAGATCATACACAAACTGTTGTTAAGCGCCAAATTTGAATCATAACAGCATCATTTACCACACTGCACAGAGGAGAAGAGTAGGTACCATTAGCATAGGAGAGGGGAGAGATACAAGACTATCCCATCGGTTGTATAGGGGATGGGTATATAAACATATTATGCAATAGAACTCCCATATAGCAATCTGCTATCAGCCGTAAAAGTAAATGATCCGCTTTCTGGGAAGGAGGGGTGAGCTCTGTGTCATCCTCTGCCAATATTCAGTGAGGTTGTGTCATGCACGCCACATGTGAGCGCTAAGGGTCAGTTTGGTGCAATGGAAAAGGGAGGAAAGGAAAGGAAAGGTGATGGAGGGTGATTAAAAATTGTGTTTGGCATAAATGGTTGGAAGGAAAGGAAAGGAAAGGGATGGTTTTGGAAGGATATCACAAGGCTTGAATAGTAACTTTCTTATCCTCTCAAAAATGGGAAGAGATGGAAGGAAAAAGAAGGAGAGGTTTGATAGGTTTGATGTATTATTTCTGATACCAAATTTACCCTAACACAAAATCAAGATTACACTTGATTTTAGTTTGCAAAACAAGAATTACAGACCTTGATTAGTTGATTTAGAAAAAAAAAATTAAAACAAAACCCATGCATACAAGTTAGCAGTTGCAGAGAGAGAGGGGGGCAAGCTTGAGAGTTGAGTGAGAGCCGAACTGGAAACTGAAAGATATGGGTTTTGATTTTCTGAACAATCTGAAATGATATGCCGATATGGGTTTTGATATGGGTAATAGGTTTTGGACTTTTGATTCTTGCAGACAGATAGATAAACTGAAATATATTGAGAGAGTGGAGGCAAGTTCAGTGAGAACAAGAATAGAGATGGAGGCAATTGGGGAGGCTGAAATGATTTGCCCTAAAAATATTTTTTCTTTTCTGGTGGCCCATCATCCATGGGCCTATAAATTACATAGTTAAATATATAATTTTATCTTTTAAAATATAAAAGGGCATAATAGTAAATTTATTAAAATAGTTTCATTTCCTTTCTTTTTCCAAACATGATTATTATCCTTTCCTTTTTTTTCCTTCATTAATTTACCAAACACGATAGGGGGTTAAAACAATCCTTACCTTCCCTTCCCTTCCCCTCATAACTAATGTTATCCTTTCTTTTCTTTCCTACCGTACCAAACATAGCCTAAGGAAAATTGTGTATGGCATATACTTGGCAGGTGGAGAGTGGATTCTAGAGTTGTGTAGAGAATTATGGAATGTTGGAAGATCCTAGGGAATTACAGAAGCATGCAGAGTAGAGAATAAAGTAAAGAATTATGTAGACTGTAGACTTAGAAATTTAGATATTTTAGAAGTGTTTTAGAGTGAATCTTAACCATTTGATTATAATAATCCCAGCATCGACTAACAAATTTTGACGAGTAATAGTAGAAGTTTACGTGGTCACGAGCCTCACTAGATACCAAATTAAAAGACACATAATGTAACAAACTCCATATCAACAGATTACAGATGATGCAACAGCTGCATACTAAACTAATCAGAGTGACCATGAACCTTTGAGAAGCTTCAAAGAATGAACCAGGTACGACTAACCCATTCTATATAGATAAACTAATCAGAGTGACCATAAACCTTTGAGAAGCTTCTGTTTTGAGAGAATGAACCAGTTACGACTAACTCATTTTATATAGATAAGACTTAGGTTTGTGGAAGATTCTTACCATTTTTAATGTGGTATATGCTATTTGTTTGTGTACAACATTTGTAAGGGAACATATGTATGACTTCAGATCTGTTAGTATGGTGAATGTTTAAACAATTCTTTCAACCACATACACAAATGCTCATCTCGCTCAAACATTGGGCAATTTCAAGCTATTTTTATCTTTTGAACTGAAACCAAAGAAAATTTGGGAAAAATTTGAAGGAATCAGAGAGCGTGTATATTAAAGAACCTGTGCAAAAGAAATTTCCACTTGGCCTGGGATGGTATCGTAGACGCATGTGGGTGCAGCTAAACTCATATCAAGAGTAGTTTCCCCAATGTTTCCATTAAGAGACTGACTTATTACGCTCTCTTGCACCCCTTTTCCTTTATGAGAGATGTTTGAGGTCCCCATAGTTGAATCAGATAAAGGATTAGGAGCTCCAGCTTGTTTCGAGGTAAGATCTAAGCGCTCAATTATTCGTGCCACACCAGCAATGCCTGCACTCATCTCACGCTGAACACCTCTTCCCAGATCTTTGACTGAGACATTGCGTGCAAGCAGCCTCTCCTTAAAACCACGGGTACTTCTTGAGATTGATTCCTTATACCTGGAGATTCAAACACCGGAATCAAATGGATGAAACAAGTAAGGATCAACTCCTAAGGAGAACCAAGTTGAATTCATTTACCTGGCTGAAGCAGCAGAAAACCTAGACTTAATAGAGTCCGAAAAAGCGAGCAATTCAGATGAGTTTAGTCTTTGCGGACTATCAGGAGGTGGCTGGCTGCAAAGAACTCTATATTAACAAGAGGATACTCATCAAAAGAATAGTAATAATGACAATAGGACCAATGAGGCACATAATTATGTGTGGGAAAAAAAAGAAAGAAAGAAAGAACAGAACAGACCAGTAAAAAGAGACAGAAATGATATTACGTTGCAATTTGTTGCAACGAATTTCTGTCGTAGAGAACTCATTCACTTGTATAGTTAGTTATGGCTTCGTGATTTAAAAGTGTCAAATTTTGAGTGTGCAGACTGGAAAGACATGCTATCCCTCCATTTGTTGACATCAATTCCTAAATATACTGTAAATTTTATGACTAAACCACACCTGGGCTTAGTGGGGCCATATCTGTTGCCAACAATGTTGGGTACCACATTCACATCAGACGGAAACACAGATGAGTATTGACCATCAATAGTAGTTGGTGTGGTAGAAGCTGCTGAGTTGCCCTCCAATAATCCATAACTCGAACTTTGGCATTCCTCTGGTGATGATGTGTGCATTTGCTGCTCATTAGACAGATCTGCAGTAGGGATAGAAAGAGAAACTTGTGAAGGACCAATTCCAGAGGATCTGTGCCTTCCCCTTTTATTAACATAACAAGCTCTACTAGCTGCAGCAGCAAAATGTCGCATAATACGCTCATCAAAATCAGAATCATCTGCAAAAGCTTCCTGAAAGATATCATTCTTGCTCGGTAAGCTATTCAGCACAAAACATTTCAAGAAAATGTAGTTTCAAGTTGGACTATGTAACTCACACGATCAATTTCATAGCCCCCATGGGTGTGACGAATTTTGTGCCTTGACCTCAAACTCCTTTCATTCTCCACTGCAGCTAGAAGCTCTTGGCTTAAGACAACAAATGAATATTGGAAAAAATAATTATGGAGATAAAAATTATTGGGTTGCAAGCTTGATTCAATCAACATGAAAATCAGAAATCCATGGACATGAAAATGAATTGGTTAGTCTGAGTATTGTTAGTGTATGTATTAATGTGCCTTGTTATAATATGAAAATTTATCTACCTGGCAGGGTCTTTCAAGACAAGCAGCTGCCAACATATTGGGCACTCCTTGCTTCTTTGTGACCTGAAGATAATTACATTGAGAACATTCACCCAATAAAACGATTACATAACATCTACGAGGGTGCAAAAGTAGGGGGTACAAGTGCTGGAAAAACTGTGCTGAACCTCCCAATGCAACAAATTGAACTTTTAAAAAGTAAAGAAACCTACCATTCAAGAATGCACTGCAGATGATACTCATGTTTGCAGTTGGTAATCTGTGAAAAAAAAAAAAAAAGGATGTCCAAAAGCTTAATACTAATTCGAACTCATGGATAGCTATGCATACAATGCAGTCATTCTCAAATGAAGCACATCTCCCAAAACCTAAAAGAGAAAAAAAAAAAAAAATACCATGGGAGAAGCACTGTAACAAGAGGCCAAACTAATTACAAAAAATTGCAAAAAAAAAAAAAAAAAAACAAGTTTTCAGTAGCAAAAACTTTTATTGAACACAAACACAACATTTATAGATTCAATTAAGAATCATGACTGGAAATTGTTAAAAATAATAATAATAATAATAATAATAATTTGACCCTCTATCACATCAATTGAAAATCAAAATAACTAAATTAACGATTGAAAAGTAATTAATTGAAATTGCATATCATAATATCACACAAATTTCAACTGAATCACTTCTATTAATTAGAACATCACCACAAACTAGACCATAATCATCACCAACATCACGTAATCACACACACACACAAAAGAAAACAAAAAAACAAAAAAAAACATAAGCATACACATCTAGACATTTATCACAAACAAATACCATTCCAGATTTTCAAATTCCCATGTCATATTTTTCCGCAAATTGAGGCAATTCATATGATCTAAACAAATGCAGTTGTTCATTCTAGCTTAAGAGTTTCAGTCAATTAAAAACAAGAAAAAGCCTAATTTTACAAACGTAATCATGTATAACAACACATATACATATATAAATTATGCACACATATACAAGTATATAGTGAGAATAAGTGTGTGAGTTTCATACAGAGGCAGGATCATCGGTGTTGAAAGGCTCGAGACATATACTGCAGGCGTCTTCGTAGTTGTCATCGGCAGCTCCAGAAGACGAAGACGAAGACGTGATCGGAGGAATGTTGATTGAAGTAATGAAATCCGCCATTGACAGTACTCAAGACTGAATCAATGGGTTTGTGTGTGTATATTAAGAGAATAATAGGAAAGAGATAAACGCAAAAGCACAAACTGTGTAGAGAAAGACGGAGAATATAAGAAGAAGAGGAAGTAAAGAACCCTAGAAAAGTGTAGAGAGAGAGAGGGAGATGGTAAAGGGTCAAAGAAAAGAATTATGGGGAGAAGAAGAAAAGTCAGAAAACGCAGGAAAATCCGATTCAGACGGTTGGTGGAATCAATCAACTCATTTTTTATAAAAATAAAATTATATATGTATTACTAATTAAAAAAAAAAAAAAACGAAAGTTTATTGATGAATGGGGAACACCACCTATAATTTATGATATTTTCATATATGGCCTGCATTCTTGTATTTTATTTTAGATGGATTTTTATTTTATTTTTTTCCTTTCCTTTTGATGTAACATATAATTTTAAAAATATATGAAAAAAAATTTACGTGACAGACTAATACATGATAATAATACTATACTATACCATAGAATGTATTATTCATGTAACATATAACATTGAGATGTAAAATTACATTAGTACTAAATAGAAAATATTATACTTTTTCATGATTATTGTTTTGATATGTAATATATAATTTAAAAAATATATGAAAAAAAATCTATGTGACAGATTAATACCTATGAAAAAATGTAAAAATGATAATGATACTATACTATACCATAGAATACATTATTCATGTAATATATAACATCGAGATGTAAAATTACATTAGTACTAAATAAAAAATATTATACTTTTTCATGATTATTGTTTTGATATATTGTATCTTTGAATTTTTTTTTTTGTTCACAAAGTGTATCCAAGATATCCAAGTTATGACAGGTATATACTATATATAAACACACCTAAAGTTTGGATTATATGTGAAAGCATACCTAAAGTGATTCTCATATGGGCATGTAAAATTCTTTGCTTCACAACTGACGTGTGAATGGAGAAATAGAATCAAAGTGAACCCACTCAAAACGTAAAAATATTTTACATATTTTCTAATACCCATCAAACTACAATAAATATATTAGTATGTCCTCCCTTTTCAAAAAGCAAAAAATAAAGTAAACAAAAAGGTTTGTAAATATACCCAATTGAATCCAACTCGGCTCAATCTTTTCCTAACTACAGAATCTGTTTGGGTTCAGTTAAATAAATAAATCCCACTTCATCGGCTCATTCTATTTCATTGATTGTCTGTAATAATGTCTTTTACTTAATATCTGAACAATTATTTATTTATGTATTTATTTTTAAGTTCATCACACAACCCATGTTATCAACATCTTTATTTAAACAATTAAACTTCATTTTTATGTCAATTATTTTATTTATTGAGTTTATGTATTTTTATTGTAGAAGTTATTTTGGTTGCTTTTAATAATTTTTAAGCACAGCTATTTCACAATAAATATGTAAAATCAAACCAAAATGTAAAAATCAAAGAGATTTTTATGCTTAACAAATATGCCATGTAAAGGAGGGTAATATTGACCAACACTATACTTGTTACCAAGATTAGTTTTTAGGCGAAGTTAGTTTAATTTTTGAAACAATAGAAGATATTATATAATTTTGCGAAACCTTAAGCAAAAATAATGTAATTTATGAAGTTCACACTACCCATGTTTTATGGTTCTTTTGTTTATGTCCTACATTTTTATATTTATATTTCAAATGAATTTTTCAAACCTAATGTAATTTGGTTCCATGTGAAGTTTTAGGAGTACAAAACTTTGTATATTTAAAATCAAATCATCTGTACACTTAAATTTAAGGTGACTTACGCGTAGAAATCATAAAATTTTGCTTAAGATCATTTTTAAAAGAAAATAAAATCAAGATATGATAGTAAATTAGAGAATATAAGTGAAAATAGAGGTACACATCCTAGCATTTAATGTATCCTTATATGCACATTATTCATGTGAACTTTATTTTTAGCAATTATATAATGGGAAATGATATTTTTGACGATTCTAATACTCCGACTTAAAACCGACCTAGTTAAAAATATGACGTGTTATTATAAAATTTCAATTTAAATAACATCATTATTACTCCTATTTGTTTCAATAAAATACGTCAATTTTACTTTTTTTATCTACTTAGTTTTTCATAACTCATTTTCTTATCTTTTCAGTTTTCCATAACTGTATCTTCTTTTCCGTTTTCACAATATCTTTCATGGTACTCAAATAGAAGAATTTGATTGATACAAAATCTAAAACAAAAACACCAATTTTTTTCAATTTTTTCCTGTGACGTTCCGAATTTTCATAAACCGGAAATATCAATGTGACCCGATAATGGATTCGGAATGCAGAAGTAAAAACAAAGTAAACAAAGTTCCTACGGGTAAACGGCATCCCAAGAACGCTAGAGTGACTTTCCATGAAGTCACGGAGTTTAAAAGAAAACAAAATGCGGAAGCGATATTTTAAAAAGGGACAATTTTAGCCCTAGAGCCAAAACGGTAATTTTCAGAAAATAATGGGTGCTACCAAGCACACCATTGGATAGATAACGAAAAATTAATGAAGTTAGACTCGAAAATTACTTAATTTGGAGTCCGAACGGAAGAGAAAAGACAAATAAAATCGGGCGTCGTCACGGCCCAAGGGGGCACCAGGGCCAAGCCCCCATGCGCACGCTACGCGCACACGCCCCTGCATGAGCATGGGCACGCGCTCTGTAATTTTTTTTTAAATTTCTCTCTTTATTTTTGCTTCTGGAATCACAGAGATCATTAGTTTTAATCATTATATTAATAAACAAATATCTATCTAATTATATATATTGGAGATGCAATCTTAAATATCTATGCGTTAGAGATCGAGATGCAATGTTATATATATTTAATCCTCAAAGCCTTAAAGTAAACTCTTCCACGACAAATAAAAGTAAAACTACGGGAATTAAACTTAACAAAGCTTGCTCCCCATGGAGCAAGAAAAGTAATCCACACTTTATATATAAACCGTTTGTAGGTGCAAAATTCCGCTCAACTAATTACGATTGAGAGAAAATAATACAACACACTCAACAAATAATAAAAATAAACAAAAACAGTGTTTATAAAAAAATTGAATTGCTTACCCCTTTATTGGAGGTCTAGGCCTCTATTTATACACAAAAGTTGGTAGAATTATGTGATACCCCCGGATTTCCGAATGCGGGTTGGCCAGGCCCACGCCCGAATACCCGAGGATATCAAAACAAATTGATAATAAACGAACACAGAGTACAAAAAGCATAAAGAAGAATAAATAAAATGCTGACAAGAAACTAAAATGATAATCTAATAATAAATCTCATAATATATTTCCATTAATTAATAAAATCTTCTGATACAACTGATCCTCCAAAATACAACTCGGGAATCCATACTGTGTGGATCCCTAGAAAATCCAAACTAAACAAATGACAGCAATAACTGTCTAAATCAAGAAACTGAATCATAAAGGAACTCCTATGCAGCATCGGAAGAATGAAGTAGACTGATCCCCGCTCAGCACGAACAACCTCTACTCCTAACGAACTCCTGAAAAATAAAGGTGGGTCAGGCTCACAAACAAGTTCTACTCTACTACAGTCCAAGCAGAGATCCGATACACGTATACATCCTAGTCAATCCAACAGTAACTAGTAATCCGTATATATATATATATATATATATACACACACACTAAAGGAACCTCACTAGACTTTAGGGTTGTCTCAACCTGAATAATAAGCAACATGCAAAACGCATATATAGTGGGCATGAGTACCTAGATCTACCAGGGTACACAACTACACTATATCTAGCTACACATCCCTGGCGATATACGCGCCCTAACCACTGATCCAGAGACTCAAGCTCATATCATGGCATCATACTTATATATATAAAATCTAGTAACCATCCTATCCAGTATAAATTAATCCTTCATAAGTCATTCAACTTGTTCAGCTGACCTGACTTGAATATAAGTAGGACTTAACATTTTAGTTAATTCATTCCCTTATATAATAAATTAATCCTCCATAAGTCATTCAACTTGTTCAGCTGACCTGACTTGAATATAAGTATGACTTAACATTTTAGTTAATCCATTTCCTTATATAAAATAGGTAGGACTTAACTGATAAGTTAATCCGTCCCTAGAATGCCACCATCCCATACCGGTGCATTAAACCACACAATCCAACAATTAATGTAACGATTAAGGAAATACATCAAACAATCCAGAAATAACTATGATAATATGATATCAAGTTATCACAAAATAGGAATGACTTATTATTTATTTAAGCTTCCTATATCATATGTCCTACATAAACTGAATCTTATGCATATGATGATATTTTATTATACCGTCAAATAAGCATTCTCCATATCCAATTCATCCTACACATTTAATCTCAATTGCTAAAACATATTAAAAGATTAAATTCATTCGTTTGTTTAAAACATTCAAATAGCAAGCATCATTATGATTGAGTCTATTTAAATTTATTTAAACCCAAGCCTAGTTCCTAATTAATGTTCAGGAATCCTAGGCATGTTTCTACGTTCCATCATTTCACAGATATGAAAAAATACATAATGTAAACATATAAAAATTCACACCGGAAATCAAATCAAAATCATGCATTTATCAATTCATAACACAAGAACATATATAAACCAATTTCATAAAACCTATGTTCTAATCCAATTAAACATGCATAATTATTTAATTTTATGTGTTTAATAAATCATGGAATTTCCCAGGCATGCATAGAAACACGAATCAAAGGGAAAGAGATAGAAGAAGAACTTGCCTTAAACTTTCGGATCGAAAGTTTAACTTCTTATTCCTTGATCTTCTCTCTACAGGGTTTTTTTTCCTCCTTCCCTCTCTAGCTCCCTCTATCTCTAGAATATATCACGTGAATATTTTTAACCCCCTTTTACAATCTATAGCTATATATTTATAAACTAAATAAAATAACCTTAACCCTTTTTCCAATCCAAATCAACTTTAAAAAAAATATATTAAAATATTAAAAAGGTAAGTAAAATATGTTACGTATATAATTTATGTATATGTTTATTAAATAAATAAATTATACACATTCCATTATTTATTAATGAATTATCCAATAATACTTAAGTTATCATAATATTATAAAGTAACTTAAAACATAACACGTATCAAATCTATATATATTTTTATTATTTAAATATAAACATATAC